AAACTGTATATATCACTTGAACGACATACAGGCTCCAAAGATAGGAGAACGTTGATATGTGTGCTAATATTTCTTTCTTTTGAAATCGGTCAGTTAAAACTTCGGTGGTTTTTTTTTTTTTTTTTTTTTAATAGTTTTCTCAGTTTAACGGTAATCTGCTTATAGATTTTGCAGCTGAACTGGTGATGATTTTTTTTTTTTTTTTTGCTTATTACGTGCTTCGCCCTTGGGCACTACACGGAAAGGGAGGGATGCCCCGTTGAGGTCTTTTCAAGGGAAACTGGCTCGTATCCACAAGCGTCTACGGCCAGCAAGTGGGCATGCCCATTACATGAGCCGCCGCTTCTATGACTGCCGTCTGCCCCTGCTACTGGAATTACTCCAGACTGGCGACGTTTTTCGCCAATTTGGCTTTGTGCTGGTCGATTTTAGTTAGGAAGTCATCCGACTGAAAGTGGAACTGTGAATTAGCATGTTTAATTTATAACGGTTATGAGTGACTCTTTGTCGTCCAAAAATATGCCATTCTAAACCAAATCATATTTCGAATATTGCTATTGAGAAAAGAAAAACATTCGAAAGACAAAATGCACCTTTGTATCTGGTACATTCATGCATCATTAAGTGAAAGATATTGAATTTGTATAAATAAAAAAAGATTTAATAAGATATAATATTAATAACGTGATATAGGGAGTAATGGCCAAAATCAGAAATATAATCAGATAAAAACGAAATAAATATGCTTTGCCTTAAAAATTTGTGGAGAAAAACTTGGTGTTATAATAAATTAAAACATGGGATTGTAACTAGGGAATTTTTATTTCGAATGAATGTATAAATTAGTTTTTCAAGGTCTTTGCCACAAAAATTACATCATGGTATCAAAATGCATAGCCTGTTTTTTTCAGTTAACAATTTAATGTTCATGACCCCACAAGATGCCGATTCAACTTCAAAATTGTAGTGCTACTCATAGAACCCTTATGAATGATAACAATAAAATACATTTAATGCAAAACATACTTAATGCAATTTCATTATGGTAACATTATTAATTTTCATGGATATCCATTACAAAGAGAAAAACGTAGGAACTTATTATACAGTTAACGTAAATAATATAAATTGGGGAAAACCTCATATTACACTTCAAACTTTTACATTTACCGATTTAGAAATTAAAAATACTCATGTTCAGAGCTGCTGTAAAGCTGTTTAATGTACTGCCACGTAAAACAAAATTTTTGTCACAACGTATTCCACCTATATGAAGTAACTGTTATTATTGCTAATTAGTAGCAATGGAACTTTCAGCAATAACAGAGAATTGCAGTAAAATTGGGCTGCATTTCTTTATTTGTTTAAAATCATTCTGAATAAATCTCACAATAATTTTATGTTCACATATAGTTTATTTAACTGTATTTTCTGAATAAGAACAAAAAATTCTGTTTAAACTGGTGTTAGCATATGAAATGTAATTTACAGTTTGTCATCTTGTGGGTGATCCAAGAAAGTCTCGTAACTTACTGAAGATTGCAGTATCATTTTTCACATATGGCATTCATTTGCATTAATAGAACGTGCTGTGTATAAGAGTACGTGAGATTTAAAATTAGAGCCTACCAGAACTCGGTACCTCTCAGTTTCAAGTGAAATCATAATTCCAGTTAGTGTTTGTTTACCCCTCTTGTATTCTTCTGTTATCGGGGCTGGATTCAGAAAAATGTATGTATGTATGGATGGATATATGTGCTTGCGTATGAATGTATATATATATATGTACTTATGTATATATATGTGTGTGTATGTATATGCAGACACGCACATAGATACTCCAGTTCATACATGCATAAATTTTTTAATCTGGTTCTGATAACAGAAGAATGACCAATATTTTTTAAATGCATAAATGAATCATGATATTCGTAAACGTTTTTGTTATGAATGCAACAGGTTATAGTAAAATTTGCATTTATAGTAGCCCGTATGCATGCATCCTTTGATTTCCTTTGAAAAACGAAAATATATGGCAAACACTTGAACAGCTGAAGATGTAAATCTCCATATCCAAACTGGATCCCGTCACAAAAAATAATTTTTAGAAGTACCCATCTAGTTAATAAAGTGCCCATGATGTCAAGATGGCCTTTAATATAGCAGAAACCAAAATTAAGATGCAGTTTTAGCTGAACACAATGTTGTTGAAAATAGTTACCTCTTTTTTTATGTTCAGTAATCTATTTTGTTACTACTAATTTCTTCACTATTCATTTGAGTTTTATAATATTTTATTAATTTATTCTTCATTCCTTTTATCATTTAAATTTTATATTGCCTAAATTATGATTTCTTAGTGATTTACTTTCAATTTTTTGTTGTTTTATTTAACTTTTATATTTTAACTTATTATTTACCTATTTAGTATTAATTTAGAAACACTTACATCTCTGCATTGCATTGTTTTTCTGTCACTTGAAGATATCTGACTGTCTTGATTTAAGTGAACAGCATTTTTGTGCTTTCCTAATTCAAATAATTCAATCCTACTTCTTAAAGGAATATAACTTTTAAAATTATCACATAATTTGCACACAATCATGTAAAAAAGTTTGTAATTAAAAAATAGGAATGAAATGAAGCTACACAAATCTTTTTAAATTAGAGTGAAGGAAGGAAACTTTACCACTTTTCTTTTAAGAAAACCTTTCATTATATAAATGTCTATTATATAATAATTATTTGAAAAAAAAAAAAGCTAAAACTATGTGATCAACAAAATATAATTATTAATATTTTAAACATCATTGATGTGTAGATAATTAATAAGTGAGGACTATATTTAAAATGTATATAACATGTGGTTACATAATGAGCTTTTATATTCAACCCCTAACCAATGTACCTTAGCTTAAGGATTTTAGGCACTTAAGGACTTAAGGAACACACTTAAGGATTTTTTTCCTCGTGTGATTTTACATTTTTATAAATGATGCACATACAATTACATATTCTATTTATAATTATGATTTACATGTTTAAATATGGGAAACAGTAAATAATTCAAAATGATTTTAAGAAATATGTAACTGTAATACACATTATTTTTCACTCATATGTGTGCAATTCATAACGATCAAATCTGATACAGCTTCCTGTGTATTATCACAAAGCTCTTGAGAAAACTTTTGTATCAGAAGATTTCATGTGCTCCAATTTTACAAAATGTACTACTACAGTTACAATTATCTATGCTTTATCTCAAATACAAAACCATTCCCAATTGTTTACCTGTTAATAATATTTACTATTTTCAACAGGATTTGTTTCATTTTAAATTGCTTTTATACACATCAAAAGAGAAAACTTTCAAATTTTCCCACCCTCTCCAAATCACATATGTAAAGAGGTTTATGATGCTTGCAGAATATAACTTCTAAAGTTAAATCTTTATATAAATATTAATGTAAAGAATTCTATTAATTAAAAGCAGGAAAATATGCAATAAAATGGATTAGAGAAGAAATTATGCATGAAGCAGCAGCTGAAAATAAATCTTTTTAATTAGAAAGGAGAAAGGCAACTCTTGTGCTACTTTTCTTATAAAATAACACAATATTTTTATTTATTTATTTATTTATTTATTTTTTGAAAAATTAAATTCAAAGAAATCAAATTACGAGAAAGAAAAATTTATATTAATAGTCAGAAAAAATTGACAGATAGGATGACAAGACAAAAAATTGTACTGATGAGTTCTGAATTGGAGTTTCAATAAAGGAAGATTAATTTTTATATTATTATTATTTTGTATATATTTTCCCTTTTTGCATTTTTAGTTTTCGAGTTTGTATTACTATGATCATTTTTTTTTGTTTTGAATTGTTTAGATTTTATTTTTAACCCCTTCATCACTCATCTTGTTTCAAGTTGACTTTAAAACAAAATTAATCCACGTTGTCTTACCAATCCGAAAATTTCTTTGTCGGCCAGGTGCCCACATATGAAAGCTAATTTATTGCTTTATCACATCGGTGGTGTTTGATATCATGTTATATTGAATAAGCTCACATATTTTTCTTCTAATAATATATGAATCAAAGTATATTTGCAAATATTTACAAAATTGTTGGGGTTGTTCGCTTACTCGCTTAACTCTCTTTTACCGCCCCTTTAAAATGATTACATCTATCCACTCGCACCACACTCTCTCAGCACTGAAACTTTTCATTAATTGTATACGGGCGGCGCAGTGCCCTCTATAACGTTTTCCACAACACTCTATAATAGAAAACCAGCAGTTACTTACCCATTCCATTGAAATAATACGTGCGTAATTTAAGTGTGTAACAGTTCCATTTTCACCCAACTTTCAACGAATTGAAAAGTTATGCTTATTTTAAAAACAGGGATTGACTTGTCATATGCCCTGTGTTTAAATTACATGAGATTAACAGAAAATAAAAAAAAATTCTTCCTTAAAATATGATCCTCGTTTAATATCAATTTTCAAATCATATACATTATGAACTGAATCTTTCTTATTGCACCAAAGCAACAAGGAAAAATTTAAATTTAATGGATTATTATTTAATTATGGCAAAGCACACGAGGGATATCTGCCTAAAGGGAGGGATGCCTTCGTGGAAGACTTTCTAAAGGAAACTGGCTCGTATACACGTAACACATGGGGAAAACCACGAAAACGCCCATGCAGCCAGCCCGTTCGCGGGATTCGAACCTCCTAACTTTAATGAATGATGTCCTTGCATTTAAAACAAAATTCTACATATATATATGTATGTATTGAGAGATACAATGGAAATCTATAAAATTTATATAGAAAAAACTTCGAATACGTTTACAATGGAAATCTATAAAGTTTATATAGAAAAAACTTCAAATATGCTTTTCATATTTCAAGCAAAGAGCAGATAAATCACGCAAAGAAGCAGATAATCTATCGATAAGAAGCGAACCGTAAGAGAAAAAGCCATACGTAGCTGAGTGTCATTGGTAGACGGGCGATTCCGAGTTAACACAGCTGCAAGGAGCAATCAACGCACAGGAAAGAGAAGCAGGAAACTCCTTGCTCTTTCCATACCCAACATGGACATTGAAGTGTTGGTAGTCGGCGCAGGTATAAGCGGTAAGTTTAATTTCACTTCGTTTGAAAAAATGGCTTATTTTTTTCACTTACTTTTCTTCGTCCCCCTGTTCTTTCAATACTTGCTATTTCATTTCATGTTCCCGTTTTTAACATTTACTTTCCACGAATTTTAATTGCTCGAAGGGAAAATGTAGCATGCTTTGTGTTATTTACAAATACTATGAAATGAATTTTTTTGGTTTGCTCTAAATAAAAAGAAGGTTAGACATTCAGATTCGTAACTATAATAAAGTATTTATGCATTTATTTATTATTATAACTACTGTCATAGGTTGGGCCCAAAATTCACAGCCCATACACTTCTCGAGTTCACCAAAACTTTATTCTGTGTTGCATTAATTGTCTTCGCCTTTACTACTTTCTGTTCAGAAACATGCTGCTAATTTGTATTAATTCATAAAATTATGTAAATATTATTAAATAATCCGTTCGAGGGACAACGCGTTATGCAAACATCAAAATTTTAAAATATTTCTTTCGGTACTGGATGGCAAAATGAAAAACAAACTGAAATGAAAACAAAACTCAAATTCTTTATCGCTATAAATCCAACTCGTAATACAAGTAGGAATCAAATCTATGTAGTCGGATACTTGCAATTTAATGCATTTGTGACGAGTTTTAGGGGATAAAGAAGGTAGAAGTTGGCATGATTAAATTAGTAAAAGAAATACTATCGAAACTCGGTCAACATTTATTGAAATTTAACCAAAAATAAAAGTATAAACCAAAACAAACCATAATGCGTTCTAATTTGCATCTACCCTTAGCATCAGCATTGCAGCATTTTTATACCATAAATTCGCTGGAACTTTGAGGGTGCACATGCAAATATGCATACAGTTGCTTGTTGACACGCATTTACCGGTAATGGTCAAAACACATGGGTCTTTTAACTATTCTAGGTTTCCCTCGAAATGGCTGCTGAAGGTACACCATAAAGGAGCGACTGTATTACACCCGCGGGAAACACAAAGTTCCATCCCACGGAGTAGATCCGAAGACAATCTGCCCGCTCTTCCCTTACTTTCAACCTCTCGTCAGAACTTTCGGCTTGACAGAATTTTAAGGGCCCCTGTCCACAAAGGCACTCACTATACATTTGCAAACTCCCTCTTCTCCGGGCGTTGAAATCAGATCCAGGCTATGACAACAGTACGACCTATAATGCACCTTGAAATATGTGAAAATGGTCCGAAATGCGCTGAAGCGACTTTTTCTCAAGTACATAATTGTATTCAAAGAAGGAGGTCCAATTGTGATCAGGGAGTTTCTTCAACGTCTTTTACTGGTTAGCTTTATTTATTGAACTGACTTATTATTAAATAATTTAGCATTTAGTAGCTGTTTTCTAAGTCAAATTTATTTTAGTTGCCTTTTTAGTACCTAGTTAGTTAAGTAGCTTAACAGTTATTTTTTTTCCATATTTATATCAATTCATAATGTTCTAAATTTTCTTCAAGTGCGAATACTCACAAGAGGTCTAGCGTATTCAAGTCACTCGATCAAATTCTAGTTTTCCAAGAAGAAACGTTTTTGTGCCTTTCCGTTTAAAAAAACAGGATATGATTGTTTAGGGAGTTATCTATACTGATGTGAATCCTTTCATATTCCTAAATGTGTGGTATGTTATGCCGGAATTATGGATACCAAACACATTTTAAAAGGTCTTTGTCAGACAATATTTTTGAAAGATACTGGTGGATGCTTCAGGTTTTACAGACTAGCTGACGTTTTTGAATTGCTTCTGAATTTAATTGAAAGATATTAGAGTGCTTTGATACTTTCTGTTTCGCTTAGTATGGTATTAATTTTGTTTTTAACTTCGTATGCTTTTAAATTTAATTTGTGTTTGTGTTGTGTGTTTCTAAGCGTTATTGATTAATTTTATAGGAGCAGTTACTGCCAGGGAAGAAAAAGAAAAAAAGTTCTGTTTTTTATCACTTGCGGATATAACTCAACTGAAAGACATGGAGGTAGAAAGATAAAAAGAGTATCTTTCCGGGACTGATACAGGCTTCCAAAAAAAATTTTTTTTATGTACAAATGATCTGTGCAAACGAAAAGTATATCTTTATGAAAAAAATATTCTGTATAGTTTTTGAGAATGCTCCAATTTTTGGAAGCTGCACGTTTATCTCGCATCACTTTTAGAAATAATTTCATTTGTACTGCCCATATCTATAAATTTAACCGGCAGAGTGTGTCGTCAAGTAATTATCGGCTAATTATACTTTTAATGTTTTATTTATTTCAGTACTCTTATGATTTCCATATCAAGAAATCTAAGAGAAACCAGAAGTGCCTCATAACGTCTGTTTTCAATAAATTGCATGTACTAATACATTAACTTATTCCTCAAACAAATTATTTTAAAAATAAGTGCCACTGAAAGAATAATTCTAATAAATACGTTATTAGACAAAGTTTAAAACATGAAGAATTTAAACGTTATTTATAAATGCCCCTATTGGAAATATTGGTAAATGAATAGTTAAATTTAGACAACTATATTACTTATCTTAATAGTTCAGTTTGAAGTTTTTACATTATCCTAATTTTTCTTGGATTCTGTCAAAAAGTTCTTCCATTTCAGAAGTTCTTTGCAAACTTTACTTACTCCTAAGTAATTTCATAGTAGAGTTTCTGAATTGCAAGCTTATGTTCAATCACGTTGTAATAAGTTTACGTTTAAGTAGTTTGCCGTTTGGAAGTTCCTTTTGAGCGGCTAACTAATCGGGATTTGGGCAAAATAAAAGTGAACTTTGAAAATTAGAGTGTTTCAAAAAAACTCAGTTTATTTTGCAGCTAGAATTTAAACTTCTAGAGGTTTTAGACCAACATTGTGTATTTTAAGGTTAACAGCTTAACAAACCTTCAAGTTTTGTGCTGTACTTTGTTTTTTAACTTAGATACACTAGGCAAATTGTGATTCACATAAACTTTCCTTTAATGCTTACTTAAATTTATTGTAAGCACCTGCACTAGTGACAACTTTCCTTAACATTTGTGCATCCTCAGACAACTCATAATGAGGAAATCAAGCTGGCAAATAGAAGAATTTAATTTTACGTCATAATGTTAGCTAATAGCTTTATACTAATGCACACGGGGGAAGGCTGTTATAACTCAGATTGATCTGGCTTATTGAGATTACGGTAAAGCACTCTAGGGATATCTACCTGATGGGAAGAATGCCTTCTTGGAGGACTTTCTGAGAGAAACTGGCTCATATGCATGCTTATACATGGGGAAAAACACGAAAACGCCCATGCAACCAGCCCGTTCGTTTGGCATCTAACCAGGTCAGAGCTAACAGTGCTCAGTAACTTTACCGCCGGTTGTTGATAGGCCAAATATAACTAAGAAAGTCAAGCCAGGCTGCGTAGGGAAATATTTTAGGTCTCTTATATTCGGCTGTAAAACTCTCAGTATGCAGTATTTTATCACATAAATCATTAAAAAATTTAATTATGAATTCAAGAATTATGCTTCATTGCTCTAGAAATCACCGAAATTCTGTGTAAGGGCAGGCTTAGAAATTCCACATTTGTTCCTCAATAAAAGCAGATCTTCGCTGTAACACAAAACTAAGGTATAGCTTCTACAAATTTAACCCAGTTCTCTTACTTTGTAAATGAAAAAGATCAAGAAAAGTCCCATCCTAAATTGGAAAAGACTGTGTAAATACACACGATCCAGAAAGCTGAAGAAGAAATTAAAGAGATGTGGTCGACGGCATTGATAACGCGGTTACATGAAAGCAAAAATATCTTAATTCCTATCTTTCTCATTATTTAATCTACCTCTCCGTTTGTAACACCTACGAGGAATGGACAGGTGCATTTAACGTTTTTCATATATCAATTAGCACTAAATGTGTCACTATGGCCAAAATCGCTGCTTTGCCAATCAACCACATGGGATGACTTTCATACTAACAGATATGAAAAGCCAATATTCTGCGCCGATGTAAATCCGATTCTGGGCTGATGCAAATGATCTCTATTATCTAGGCTTCCATTCCTAATCAAGATAAAGTGTTGCTTCATTATAAGCTAAAATTACTCGTACTTCAGCACAATCTCTGCCAAAAAAGTGAATTTACATTTTCTTTATCATCTCGGTTATGATATTCTCTTTATGTTATCAGCTCTTCTGAAAGATAAAAAATAATCCATCTGAAAGTTAAGTAAATGTTTATCTTGAAAAAATTCTCAAGTACCTGCGATAATCTCTCTACACGCTATTCAGTGTGAACAATTAGAAGCTCCGCAACTAATTGAAAGCAGAGAGCAATAGATTTTTCATATTCGTTTCGTGTTCCCAGACTTATAAAAAGGAACAACTTCCCACTCTGCTCAAAAATAGACGCAATAGCCTTGATTTCGATTTATCACCAATGGGTCGCTGCGAAGGTTAAAGTCAAAGAAACGTAGTACAACTACTTCGTTTTTGAGTTATCTTTTTTGTAGTATGCCGTGTGTTTCTGGCTATAGAACAAGTATTTTGCTCTTTCATATTGTTTTAAAGTTGAAATATAGTCATCGGTCTATTTCATTAATGTAATCGGTACAGAGATTTAACATAAATTTCTAATATCTAAAAAAAGGAACTGGAAAAGGCTAACTTCCAATCATAACATTTATAGGGTACTTTTAGTAAGACCCCTCTTTCAAAGTTAAGCTTAAACTCGCTTCTTCTAAATCAGGGGTTTTTCTCAACCAAGGAGGAATTTCATAGCTCCAGGAGGGCGGAAAGCTGTCAGTCTTTTATTTAGCTCTTAACCATTTAGTTTTAGTTTATGAATATAAAAAACTAGTTTGATAGAAGTTTTGGTATTTATCAAAATTTTCTGCACTTGTCTAGTTCAGAAAACACGTTACAATATAATCTAAATAAATGTATATATGCATTTTTCGGGTTATGGGAAAGAGTGATCTAGCAGTGGTGAAGGGATGCATGAGGAAAAACAGGTTGAGAATCACTGCTCAAAATACTGCTGCCCAGACGGGTATAGTGGTTTGGGGAACCGACTGCGATACCAAAGGGCCCGGGCTCGAATCCCAGAGAAGGCATGGTTGTAACTGTCCGACTCTTCATAGGAGACAAAGGCGGCCCACCTATTAGGTGCCTCCATAATAAAGTGACCACCATTTCTGGGCTTAGTAGTGGCCAAGCCGAAATCGGCTAAAGCGTGCCATTAGTTAAAAAAAAAAAAAAAAAAAAAAAAAAAATACTAGCCTATCTTTTTTGATGTACTGGCGGAGGCATTGTCTCTCGGTTCTCTACCAGAAGTTAAATAAATAAAACAGTTAAAAAAATCGGAAAGCTTTCAGATTTTACGTTACGCCCAAAGGGGCGGTTTTTTTAACATTTTGTGTGTTACCCTTATTTATTAAATATCATGTTCTTCGCACTTAAACCATAAAATTCAATTCAACAGCAATATCACAAAATCATTTTAAAATGAACATATCTTTAGAACTGATACAGAGTCTCACGCGCTGGAGATAAGGGTTTTCTTTTTCTCCCCCCTTTCCCCGTGCGCGTTGGCATTGGTCGCTTTGAAATCGTTGAGTTTGTTAATAAAAAATTCGTTAAAGTGTTACAAAATATGAAATCGCTAATAAAACAAATTCCAAATTCCAAATTAAGGTTTCCAGACGCCCATATTCTATGGAGGATTACGTTATTCAAAATTTGATAGCTCTAAGTACCCAATGTTTTAACACAATAAGATAAACATACATACATTTATGCAGATTCTTCATTATTTAATTTCTTAAATATAACACAGGGCGATAATATTTGGTGGCAACAATTTGAAAAGTGAAACGAGCATTTAAATTTCCAACGCAAAATGCTAAAACGAAATTAATAGCCCTTCTGTGCTAACGCTCTTTCGGCTAAAAATTATTTGAATTTCAACTCGAAGTTACAAAATAAGCTAATTAACTAAATTTCTCAAAACAAACTAATTAACAAAATAGTGCTATCAAGATTGCGTAAAGGCTGCTTATGGAAATTATTACCTTCTTTATCACTTCTTGTAAGAAAGAGTCAAATTATTCAATCTGATTCAACTTGTCAAAAATCTGCACTTCTCTATCTCATGCCAAATTTTTATAATAATATATGTATGTTTTTTAGATATTTTTAGGTATGAAGCTCACTAAAAAAATTACAGGAAAAAGGAAGTGTACTCAGAAAGCTTAAGTTTTTTAAATAAAATGTAAATATCAAGTAAGAGGAAAAATTAAACAATACAGTGAATTTTTGAAGATTTGGATATCACCATTGGAAGTCTTTTTTCTTTTTTTTTTAATGCATTGCAGTGTGAGTACGGGTTCGTAATAGATTGAATACATCGAGAACCCATGACAGCTTGATAAAATTCATTTTACTAAAAGAAACACTTTACTTTTCTGGAAATTTACACAAAAATACTCGTACCATTCTTCTCGGTATAACAGAGTACAGTCAGCAATTACACTTCAAACTAGTAAGAACGTTAAACACAAAACAATATAAAGCGCATTTAAAAGACGAAGCTCGGAATAATCTCAATACGAAGAAGTCAACTTTGAACTAAAAACATCAGAAACCAGTGCTCTCCCGGATCTTACCGATCTTATATAGTTTTCCCACGGCTGCCAAGAAATCTCTAGGACCTTCTACTTCTCGAAATTACTGGAAGGTATATTAGGGCCATATATTGTTACAGTTACATGTAGGGATCAATAACAGTTATTCAGTTACAATGCCAATTAAAAGTACCGGACCAAAATGTCTCAAAATGGTGCCCATGTTTGGCGACGAAAATTAGTCGCCACAACAATAGCCAGCTTGGCGATATCTCGCCAGTTTAACAAGACAGTCATTTACCTCAGTCTTAAATAGACTTGTCCTTGAAACCTTATTTTTCCGGCAGCGCTTCGTCCCTTTCAAACATTTCATGTTACATTATACAAAAAATAATACTTTTAGTACGAAAATAATCACCTTCTGTACCATTAACATATAATTTCGCTATTATTGTGTCATTATATTTTGTTGTGATTTTTTTACTGTACATCAATGGATTTCGGTGTTAAATGTCTTAATTTCGGAGTCTATTGGCATGCTCTTAAACTCATTTTTTAGGTTATATATTTTCAAAAAACAATTCCCCCTGAAAGTTATTTTTAATTTCGTAAAAATTTTAGGTCTTTTCTCTAATTTCATAATTTTTGTAGAATTTATTAATTTATTTAATTCATGAAAGCATACATAAATTAATTATTTAAGCTCAAAATAGCTATTTTTTTACATATAATTCAACTAATTCTTGACAAAACCGAGCTCTTTTACGAATTTTTTCACGTATATCTCTTTCAAAGTAAATTTCATGATTAAAGCAAATTACATTTCTAAGCATATTGAGGTACTCCATTTATTTAGTATTATTTTTAAAAAGGCTGTTCAGATGTCTAGTTAATCTATCTTACGTTGAAATTTTTCTATAAATTCTTCTGATAATTCCTGATGTATAGATATTAATTTCCAATCAACTTGATCTGGAAGTTTTTCTATATATTCTTCGGATAATATCTGATACTGACGTGATACATTCCCAATCCGACTTGTCTTGAACTTTTTCAATAAATTCTTCTGATAATATCTGATACTGATATATACGTTCCCAATCCACCCACATTGTCGCCGAGATGGTATAGTGCTTAGGGAAGCTAACTACTATACCGAAGGCTTTGGGTTCAAATCTCGGGAAAGGCATGGTTGTAACTGTCCGTCCCTTCGTAGTAGGTAACGGTGGCCGCCTATTAGGTGTCTCCACAATAAAATAGCCACCACTTTCGGCCTTAGGAGTGGCCATTGTCGAAAAAAGAAAAAAAAAATATAGCCCGCCTTTCGGGGGGGGGCAGAGAATCCACCTTATCGTGAAATTTTTCAATAAATTCTTCGAACATTTCAGGATATTCTGAAATATATTCCAGTCATGAGCATATGCAGGCAGGACTATACTATTGCCCCTCGTACAGGGCTGTTCTGACCCCGTGTTCACCGCCTGGAATATATTTAAAGTAGAAAAATATGAAACTAAGTGCAGGAAAGGCTATTTTAAATCATAATTTGTAAATGTTCTGCTGTATTGCATTCTGAAAAACAAAAGATCGTCTTACAAGCATCATCACACCTTTCTTAGTGCTCGCACGATGAGTTGAAAAAGACGTTTTAAGCCCGTGGTTAAAAGCAGTTGCCAATCTTTCCTCTAGAATGTTTGACTAACTAACCAATTTTCAAAATACAGTTTTGTTCGACATTTCTATTCTTTCTTTTATTCTTATTCTCAAAGCCTCCTTACAGTGTAATTCTCGCATTTTGGAATTAGTTTTCTGTAAACGAATAATAATAAAGATTTGATTTCTTGAAAAATAGTTATCGTTTAAGTAGCAAATGAAAATATTTAGAATAATAAATATTCAACCGTTATCGGAAAGTAGAAATGAAGGTTGAAATTTTTACTATATTTATTTCTTGTTTCTGAGACAGATTTTCATATTTCAGGTCTGAGTGCTGCTAAGTGGTTGATAGAAGCCGGGATTGGTGTCGTTGTACTTGAAGCTCGTGACCGTGTTGGTGGCCGTACGCTCACTAAAAAGGTAATGCATGCTAGTAATTTCAGAATTTTGCTTTCTGACCATTCTGTCAAGTCTTTCTCTTAGCTAATAATGAAGCAAATAGGTTTCCAGGTTCGTATTAAACGAGACAAGAATACTCATTTCACAAATGTTTTTCTTCTTTCCTTTCACCGTCATGTATCTTCAGTATTTTAAGTTTAGATGGAAGTTCGAAACATATGTATAATGTATTATAATATATTTCATATATGTTTCACGAATTCAACTTTGCTTTTCTACGAGCAGTTAGAGTTAGTAAAACTTAGCAAACAGACTTCTTCAAATTAATTATGGATATGAATTCATATGTAAATATGGGCTTCCCTTTTTAAACATGCAGAACGTTGAATTTTTAATCGACAAATCTTGAAAAATCAACTGTACCTCAGCCATAATTGGTTCTGACTCTATGGATAATCCGGAAACTATAATTGCTAAAGAGATGTATTATCCACTGCATCACAAGAGCCCGTGGGGGAAAGCCTTTAAATCCCAGCATTCACCCCAACATAAGGAAAAGAGGATGAGCCTTTTAGGCCAAATCAATGAGGATGAATTAATCGTCTATCACATTTTAATTCGGGCGCCATTGTAGGAGAACTGAGGTTTTCTTGGAACTGAAAATCTTGAGAATGATTGAGTAATCTTCCCAAGAAGTCGATCCGAGTCTTCCAGCTATCAGGTGAATGTGCTAACCAATGTCTCAAATATATTATATATATATATATATAGGTTTTTTACTTCTTTTTAAATATATTAACATATACTTTGCATAGCGTTTGAATACTTAAAACTGAATGACAGACACAGGTGGCCCAACAAAAACCGAATACAAAGAATACACGATGTGGGGCTGTAACAAATGATCCAAGATAATCCGTACAGGATATGACAGATTTCACTTGCTTTGCGTTCGGTTTATCTTTCACCCGATATATAAATCTCGAGAAGAGCAGCTATTTTTCAAAAATTTTCTTGAATACTTGAGTTGTTTACACTTGATTTTATATTACCTCCAGAGGCTCCTAAAACAAGGTGAAAATTTCACGAGACAAATATCAATGAACACTGTAACTTTAGAAGGTTTATTATAAAAATGTCCAATATTTTTCGTGGACCTTGCAGATTTAAATTCTTTTATTTAAACATTCATTACGCTTTAATTAGTTAAGCATTAAATTAAATTCGTTTGTAACTTAGTTAATAAAACTGCATATTCTTATACAAAATATCCAAAACATTTGAGAACAAAATTTGCTATATGATAGCCTTTTCTTCCGACTTAATATTTGAGAACAAATCTAGGATGCAGCTGCAATATAATATTTGTCTGTTTGACAGCAAGTGTTTACACATTTCCAGAAGGAAGGGCTTTTCGTAAAATTCTCAGGGCTATTGATTTACATACTTCTTCCACTACTTTGTAGAACCTATCAATCGTAGTGGGTTTGCGCTTAGAAAAAGCTCTTATCAAGAGACCAAAGGCATAATAGCCTATGATAAAACGTTGGGGGAATTTGCAGGAATACGTTGAAAATGTATACGTGCAATTCATTTTTTCGCGGAATACAGTGATACTTTTCGAAGTATGATTTGTTGCTTTGTCTTGAGAAAGTTTCACCCTTTGAAAGTCATTTGGACAAAGAAATGATTTTTTTTTCTGCAAATATCGAATATAAAACTGTCTCTTTGTAGTACGTTGAATTAATTTTAACATTTTTTCCCTCCACATTTTTAATTTCCATTGTAAAAGAATCATGCGCAATCATAAACCCCTTTCTGAAACTTTCTTTTCATTGACGAAACCAGGTTTGTACTTTACTTTTCTCTTCGCTTTCGATAAAAAAATAGACCTGTTTTTGTTGCAGACGTTTAGGTAAACCTACGCTTTATCAAGAGTTATAATGTATTCCTATTTATCTTCACTCAACAGTTTTCATCCTGAATTCTATAAATTGTTCTGCATTGATCCACATGCTTCAGAAAACTTTGGCGAACATTAAGTTTTCTAGCCTTTTTTTAAGTCGTAAATTTTGGTTCATTAAATGTTATTTATTTATTGTTGTTTAAGATGTATTTAAAGACTTTGCAATTGATTTCTGCGTCGTTGGATTTTCTCTTGATAAGAACGATTTAACTTTATAAATATTAGAAGTAATTCGTACATTTTTCGGCTATTCGTATGGAGTCGTCTTTCCCTGTTGAATCAATGATTGATGCTTTTTCCCTTTCCTATTATAAATGTTGCTTATTTCGCACTTAGAAATTTAATACCCTGCATTTTGAATTATGGAATAGGGATATTTCTCTTCAAAAAGTACAAAACCATATTCACATTACAGCTTATTTACATGCGACAGCTCAGCAGCTTCTTCACCTGAGATAAAATGAAAGATATATAAATTTGAAAGCAGCAGATGATACTTTTCATTTCAAGCAATAATACTGTTGCCAAAAAGACTTATTCGAAAACATTTGCTTTTTTCTTAATTCTTTACCGAAGCCTTTTTAAAAATGTGCAGACACCCTCAGTAATTTCACTTTGAATGAAACAAAATCTGTGATTAATGTTTTTACCTGTTATTTTTATTTTTTAATAATCTGTTATTAAGAGTACCTCCACGAATGGATACTTTTTCAGAACACTTCCCAGCCAGAATGCTGAGAAAATTGCGAGGCCCAAAGCAGGTGAAAATAATGTCTGGTACGGCTAAAATTGGACCACCTTATATAATATCATATTACAATTTGTGTGTTCTTCACTTGATTTATCTTCGATTTATCTTAGGCCACCCTGTACATATACGTTTTATATTTAAGGAAATATAGCCCAATGCCCCTTGTAGAATACTAGGGATTAAATTTGAAAATGTTTTGTAATTAAAACTAAGCAACAAGAACCGACGTAACATAAATGAATTTGCAGGTATTTGATCACTGGAAAGTATTTAATCAGATACGAAATGGAAACAACCAAAAGAAACAGACTGAAAAATTAAAAACCAATCAAAAAATTAAAACATGATTACAAAAGTAGAAAAATAGATATAAGAAGCAAGATCGGGAAAATCAAAATTACAAATGAAGAAATATTTCAGTCAAATAAATAAGAATGAGGAAATGTGAAAAACAGAAACACAATAAACTGAGGAACATTATGTAAAATTGGCCTGACCTGAACAAGTAAAAATTCAAAAGAGAAAAATAGGCGAAAAGAAACAACTGGCTGTCTTTACTATAAACTATGACACAATTCGTGGAAAACTTGTGGCGAAGGGTCGTATGTAGAGTGTAAGCATCCTCCAAACATTTTTTGATCTCATTCTTCGATATTTTGCCTTGAGCAGCAGATCTTGCGACTTGTCCTGGTCGTGATACGTTCTCTTGATTACAATAGGTAACACCATTATTGCATACAGTAATACGAATCGGCATAATCACGGTGATGTGTTATTTACAGTTTTATCGAAATATAATTCAAAATCACGCAAATACTTTGATTCTCCAGTTTAAACATATATTACACATAATAAACCACATATTGTCAAATGTAAACTCATAACACATCCAACCACCTTCAGTGACGTTCTTATCGTATCCGTATCCAAATCCTAGTGACTGGTAGACGGCCTTGAAAAAGGCCTTTACCAGTACATGCTATCGTTTCCTAAAGAGTTAGAAGGGGAAAAAATCCGAATTTATCGGATTTCGAAGCACCTCCTAAGTGCAGTTATCTTATCAACTAAATTAAGAATCATAAAACCACCTTTATCAGATACCCCCACCTTTATCTCCACCTTTATCACCCCCACCTTTATCAGATAACTCCAGCTGGGAACTTGCAACGTGAACCCCTTCATGGCCTTGAACTGCCTGTTATACTGCTGCCACCGTGAAGTGTTTTTTGAGCCACGATTTGAAGTTTGCAGAAAAATGGCAGGATTCCTTCACAACTGATAACTGATTATAAAAAAATAGTATGAAAAGCATATTCTGTTTTGTATATTGATATTAAAGGGAATGGGAGCTCGAGAATTATTTCTTATTCTCCTCAGTCGCCTCTGTCGTTTCATACTTTGGTGAGCATTATCTATGCAAGAAAGATTTCTGGGCTTTGAAATTACAACTGAAGCAATGTTTAAATGAAGAAGTAATTTAGCTACAGTAAGGTGAATTTATATAATAAATAATAAATTAAAGCTTAAGTACTGATGTCGACTTTGTATTAGATATTTATTTACAGAAAATGAACAGTACTATATACTAAATTTCTGAGTTAATCGAATGCATACTTGGAAGTTTCCTATCCTGTCTTTACCTGATCATTCAATTTTAGGATCCGAAGGTCAATTATGTTGACATCGGAGGAGCGTATGTTGGACCAACACAAAATCGACTTCTTCGCATGGCCAAAGAATTTGGAATAGAAAATTATAAAGTAAATGAAGTCGAAGACCTTTTGCATTACAAAAATGTAAGTAGATTTTCATTGTATGCTATTAAACTAGAATAAAATAAGCAGAAATAAATCAGAAATAATATATTAATAACATTATTTCGATTTTCTGTAAAGTTCACATTTGAAGTTGAACCTAGTCAGAAATTCTTATTTTTAGGGAAAACGAACACGCTTTAGAACTGGTACGTTACCTGGACGAAGAAACCCCTTCGTGGCAATGGATATTAATAACATTATGTGGCTGATGGATAAAATGGGCGAAGAGGTAAGATATGATTCGTAGAAACTATTTTAACTACTATTCGATGAATGAAAGTTTAAAATACATTTAAATTTTATAAAGACTGGGATCTCAGTTTCTCTTTTATGGGTTACAGGCGAAAATATAGAGGACGGAAACGTCGCGTAGAAAACATCACAAGACGAAAACATCGTGGAGGAGAAGAAAGCCAGAAAGTACTTCAGTCCTAAAACTTCGTGATTAATAAAACATGGTAGTATAAATAAAGCAATTGAAAACATCGCTGTTTTAAAACATCACGGTAAAAAAAAATAAAATACCTAAAAATCATCGCATGACGATAACATCGTAGATATGTGTTTTTCAGGCTTTTAAAGTTACATATTCGCGCACTGATTAATAAGCGTATAAGGTTTTTTCTTCTTTTACTATTCTAAAATGTGACTTAATCTCTTGCAGACACAAAAGGGACCTATCGCTTAGTCTAAATTTAATGTACAGAAACTTGAGAAAGCTGTAAAAGACAATTTTATTCTAGACTCAATAAGATGAACAGAAGACACTTTTGGTGCTTACAAAGTCCGCCAGCACTTAAAGCGCGAACTCAAAGTAGAAATTCAACATGTAAAGCTAAATTTAATTATCTAAATAGCCAAAGGCTACCCACAGCAATTTAATTGCGAATTTGGCTTGGAACTCACCGACGTGACTCTAAACTATCGGCAAGTAGCAAATGCTTTTATCTAAAGCAAAGAATCTAGTAAAGGGGCCTTCAAACTTCAGAACACGCTCTGACATAACAATTCAAATCCTCACTTAAACACACGAGACCTAATTTGCTTTCTGTCTGAAATATGGAAGGACAGAAGTGGCAGTAAATGTTCAAAACATAAAATAACTCCATGTGAATTAAATAAACCTCATATCTTTCCTCGCCATAATTTCAGCAATCTCAATGATAACGATTTTGAGAAGATCTTAAATTTTAACCACCCAAGATCCAATTTTCTATCAGCAGCTAACTTACAACCTAAGCTTACAAACTGCAGTTTACAACAGTTGGGATTCCGCAATACAAATCTTCTTACATATTAATATCAGCTGCTCTCCTTCCAGTCATCTTGAAAGAAAAAAATTTAGCAACAAAATTTAACGTATTTACATCATTTTCCTTGTCAAATTACTTTAATTTTTAAAGCCTACTCTTGAAACTCTTTAAAACTTAATCTAACTTAACTATAAACTTTGCTTAACCTGAACTTGAACTGTAAGTTCTAAAGAAAGCTCTTTAAAAACTTGAATTATTCCACCTAAATCTCAGAAAACTTAGATTTAGGTGTTCCTTCAAGTAAAACTATATCACCAACTGAGAGTAAGATTCTTCTTACTCTCAGTTGTACGAAACAAATGGGCATTTCTTAAATCAAGACGATACTGACTTTTCCATTTTTATAAGTGCGTTTTGATATTGTTTTCCTTTTATAAGACTTTCTCTTGTTGGAGGAGTGTTCAGGATCTCTGTAAAGTTAAATCAATATTCAGCTATTATTCTATGCCCGATCAATAGAAAATCAGCCGGTGTAAGCAGTTCAAGTCCATATTTGTAACATTCAGGTCCATATTTGTAAGTCATTGTAAACGCAGATCAAAGGTCGCCTGTTCACCATATTTTCGAATTCTTTCAGTACAGTCATAGACTCTTAAAAATTGAGTTCTTATTAAGACCTTTTTCTAACGGTTCCTTAACATTTAAGAGACTGGTTGTTTTTTTCTCTGTCTTTCCTTTTGTAAAACATTCACCCTTGTGACGTGAAACCTGACAAAATTGACATATACATATCTTGTTTCGCATCTTTGTTTCAATGAGCTGCAGACTTTTGAGTATATTTCTTCTTTCCTTTCCCAACGTATCAATTTACGTTTTATATTACTTATCATTTTACGTTTTAATTTACTTATCACTTTACGTTTACGTTTTATTTTCAAGTATCAATTTACGTGCTTTAAAATAGTAACTGCATCAGATGACAGTTTGTGTACCTTTTCTACTGCACCTGCTGCTTGATATAAATCATTGGCATATAAAGATAAATTCAATATTTCAAACCCTTGTGTTTTTTTAGTGATGCATTGTTTTAATCTGGTACTTTATTGTAGTACTAGAATGAATAAACTAGTATTAATCCCAAAAGATAAACATTTCATGTTCATAATTTTGAACGATCTACTATTGTCATTCTGAAACCAAAGGAATTTTAAATATTTACGATCTTTCTCGGCAGTACTTATCATAAGAAATGTCTCTTCTATATCAGCGGAAAAAACGATATTGTGTTCTCGAAATTTAAGAATGACGTTCAGTATAAGATTTAAATTAAGGAATAAATTTAAATTACCTTCTAACAAATCATTTAAGGATTTAGAATTTTCTCTTTTACATAATGCATCGTAAAGAATTCTAACGCGAGAACATTCTTTATCTAATCTTGTCACTGCTCTATGGGGCCTATAATAACCTGATTCGAGATCTTTATTTTGATATATAAATTTAAAATTCAATTAAATGCTGTACGTAGCATTAATTTTTGACCCACTTTCAATTTTTCCATAACTAAGTTTAATTCTTGCTTTTCTAGGAAAAGAATATTAATTAAACCAAAAATATAAAATAGAGAGGCAAAAGTAGCCCATATTCCTTCTTACGCTCAGAAATCATTATGCGAATATACATTTACAGATTTTAAAGCCTGAAAAACACGCGTCTACGATATTATCATCATGCGATGATTTGCAGTTGCCTTATTTTTTGGCCATGATATTTTCCACTACGATGTTTTAAAACTGCGATATTTTTGAATCGCTTTGTTTTCGACGGCAATGTTTTATACCACGATGCTTTAGATCCGCGGTACTTTCTCCTTGTTTTCTTTTCTTTTACGATGTTTCTGCCTTGCATTGTTTTCGTCTTCGATGACTTTACCGCGACGGACATGCTTTAATGCATTTTCATGATATTTTCGTTCAAAAACCTGTGCGCACTGAACACTAATTCTGAGAAAAATTATGTGGAAATAATGATATAAGTTTTAAAAACTCTGCTACAGAGATTAATAAACTGATAGTTCAGAACTACCCATTTGCACAAATTTTAAAGACTAAAAAGATAGAGTTTCCTCATTTTTAAACACTCAAAACTACCTTAGCTAATATTCAGAATTTACCTAACAGCAAAACTTAATGTTTAATATTAAACTGTTTCTAAGAGTTTCATTTCTTTTTCTTATGATTTTTTTTCATAGTAGTTAATCTCTTGAAAGTATTTAGTTTGTACTCAGTTTACGAAGTTTATTAATTAATACTAAGAAAGCAAAGACGTGTTCCCGAAGATCGTAAAATAAATAGCACCTTAACAAGAAATGAGTTACTTTAAGAATTAAAATGAATAATTAATAACAGAATTTAAGTCGAATTGATTCAGTTAGGAAAAGAGTTCAATTAGGAAAAATTCAATTGTAATAATTTTCTTTTCCGTCAATTCATAACAAAATAATAACAGAAATAAAATTTATTTTGGCAAAATGGCATAAAGGTGTTAACTAACTTCTGGTGGCAAACTGTGTAGCTTGTATTCCGAGGGAGGATGTTTACTTACTTAGCACCAGCTGAGCTGCTGTACCGCCTGTTATATGACTATCAGTATTTGTACTCAGTTGGTGGAGCATTCTATTGTCGCTAGGCCTGGCCAAAAATCTCTATAGAATATTAAAATTTGTAGCGGAATTTATAACAATTTAAAAAGTTACTTCGGAAGATGGGTATTTATGGCCTGTGGTTATTAAAGAGACCCTGTCAAGACTTTGACTGTGCTGAATGAGGATTTTAGCAATGTTTTATGCAATGTGATTCTGAGTTTACAGAGAAAGTTTACTCTAGAAATCAGTGGTAACGTGGATATAAGAAGTTATTCTGATGCATTATATTAAACAATATTAACTGGATATATTAATGTATATTATGTGTACTGTTCATATATTTGCATTCTTGTGTAATATTTGCTTGTCACATTCATAGTAGTCACTTGTGTTATTCACTTATTTACGGTTCGCTTATAATTCACTTATGTATAGTCTGCCTGATAACTGAAGGTGACGCTGTGAAATACAAATCAGTGTATAGAGTTGGAAATTTATGTGTTCAGTGAAAAATATGTGTGGTTCACTTATACACAGAGCACCATTCTATATCTGCTTGGCATTTTGCACCGGTTACTAGTACAGAACACTTGAAGATGGGACTAGAAAATATTAAATTCATAAAATATTAAATATACGACTCAGCCGCTAGATCCGTGCTGAGAGCTTTTTTTAAAATTTAGATTGCTTTTAGATTTTTGAAGTTCATTGCCAGGTAGTCTATGAGAGTTTTAAATTTGTTTCGTTCAGTAAGAAAAATAAAAAGATAACGTAACACTAAATTTAATGGTAATAGTGTAAGACTATACAGTTTAGTTTAATCTAACAAGCTGACTAACTCAGAAAACAGAAAAACTCAATGGTAACAGCTGGTAGAAATAACAATGCTCATAACAACCACGCTCTGATCAAACCTTTCGCTACAACAGCTTAAACACACTTGTTCACACTAGCTAATTTACATTCTGGCGAGGAAATGACGAGGGGAATAAGAGAAGACAGAAAAGGCTAATAAATTAAAATAACTATTAGTAAAAATTTATGAAACCCTACAAGGTTAGACGTACGATATATCTAAAAAAACTATTTAAAAATTGTTTGTCAGATACCTGCCAATGCTCCTTGGGCTGCTCCTCACGCTGAAGAATGGGACACTATGACTTACAAGGCATTTTTGGAAAAAAACTGCTGGACTCAGTAAGAAGCTTTAATTTTTTTAAATCTACTTCATTTTCCATAATGTGTATATCTATGATTCTGACAATAATTATATAAATATAAAAAAGTGAATTATAAGTGCATTATTATACTCAGTAATGTAGTGAAGGAAACTAGTAACTGTCAGAAATCGATTGAAATACAAATCTCTGCATAGAACGGAGGACATTCAGAATTATTAGATGAGTTGTATTAGTGAGTAAGCTTTAATTAATGTGTTCCTAGTATTACTAACATAAGCAAAATTGTTTGTTAAAAAATTCCAGCAATAATCTTTATCCTATGAATCCATAAAATGCTTAGTGAAATACGATTTTGTAATATCATATTTCACTAAGCATGCTGAATATGAAAATTAGTACCAAATACCAGTATAATTACTGCTATTTTCAAATACTACACTCTTGTCGATACATTATCCCCTTTTAGTTCAAGTTTTAAATTAATAATGTTCTTTGCACAGCCTTCCAGAAAGCCTTTTGTTAGAATTTAGGGAGGATTTGGGAAGGTGTGTGAATAATAAATAATGTGGGAATGTCTTGAATGTGCATTGAACCAGTCCTGTACTATCTTTGCATAATACTGATTAATATAACTCTACTAAGGCAACCCACTTTCACCAAGACTAGGCAAAGAATAAAAGAGGTACATATGGTCAGTAACAATATTTGTATTGCTGGAAACTAGAAAGACAGACAACAGTTTCAATAACAGTGCGTAGGACAGCCAATCAAACACACCTTATATTATCACAGAGCTGCCACAGAATTTTTTGACCAATTATTGGCAGGAATTAATTCTAATACGATCCCTCATGGGTACAACAATTTTGGTGCAAGGAGTGGGATTCAATACCGGTGATAAGAGCGAGGGAGGAGGAAAAAGACAGCTGGTGTGTGCCTTTGCTGCATTACAGGAAAATATGGAAGGGGCCATTACCTCCGTTAAAGAAGACATGAAACAGGGCAAGAATTTGTTAAAGAAGCGATGGAAATTATTCAAGAAAAGATTGAAGCAGGTGACGAGAAAATGAAAACAGAAATTACTTCCATATTCGAAAACAAATTCGAAGCTATGGAAAGCAGAATAGACAAGGTTGAATATAAAGTTGGAGAAACTAAGAAAGAGAGCTCTCTGCAGACCAACAGCAAACTGAAGAAAGAGTTTCTACTGTCAAACAACAACCTGATGACAGAGTTTCCGTTGCTGTCACCAAAGAAGATAACAATTTAACGAAATCCATAATGCCAAATGGTCACTGTAGCTTTATCCTTCCCCGGGAGTCGACTGGGGGCAACACCCGGCGTTCTGATTATGGACATGGACCTAGACAGACTCGACTTCTAGGATAAATAATCAGTTTTCACAGTGACTAGAACTATTGTTTATTCGGTGGCAGGTTCAGATTCGGCAGGGACTGTACTGGTAGTTTCCTGCCTGCACCTTGGTTGTGGGGATATTACATGATTAGATATCGAGTGTTGTCTTTGAGTTTTTAGCTACCCTTGGTCAACACTGGGGAACGGGCTACGACGTATCTATGTTATCTTTGTTGGTGGATACTCACCGTCGACCGTTGACTTTTGTTCTTATTCCCAGACTGTGTGCATCAATAGGAATAAGCTAACTTATTAAATAAACATATTTAACTTTATGAACAATCAGTCTTTAATTATAAATCCATGGTTTCGAAAATCTTATAAGGTATTTCTCCCGCCTTCTTAGCATGCCTTCGTAGTATAGTGGTAAGCACGCCGGGTGCATATTTCAGAGGTCTGTGGTTCGATTCCCGGCGAATACTCATTTTTCATCTTTCCTGCTTCCAATTAATTTAATGTCTCTGCAGAGGTGCCCGAACTAAAAGAGTAGTGGACGATGATTCTCCACACCCAGGATTTGACGACTGGGTCCCCTAAACCTCAGTCGCCCTTTAAAAGGGGGAGTATATAAGGTGTTTCTCCCGCCGCCTTAGCATGCCTTCGTATTGTAGTGGTCAGCACGCTGGGCGCGTATTCCAGAGGTCCATGGTTGGATTCCTGGCGAAGGCGTTGCTCATTTTTCATCTCTCCTGCTTTCAAAAAAATGCCTAATGTCTCTACAGTCTTAGGAGTAGCACTGAAATCCTAATACATATCATTTTTACTAAATAGTATTATGTATTATTAAGATTAATTTTAATACAATTAAGGATGTGCTTCATAAATGAAATGCTGATTTATAAAGGATTAAGAACACAAAATCACTGCTGTCTAGTGTTTCTTCCAAGTTTACTCGTATTTATTTAGTTGAACTTAAACATAAATGGAATAGTAAATTTCAGGATTAAGGATTATTATTATTATTGATAATGAACTGAAAAGAGAATTCCTCCAAATTAAGAACGATAAAGCACTATGTCTAAGATGCATTTTAGTTTCTTTTGAATGGCATTTAAATTCCACTGACTTTTCTCTGAATAATAAAATTAAAAGTTTTTCCTCACAGTCGCTAGTTCTAATTTCTGTATTTGTTGATAATGATTTAAATTGGCTGTTCAATTTAGGTGAGTCAAATCAAATAAAAATATTAGAGACTACCAGATATACTATATCAATTAGCATACATGGTTTTTTTTATTTAATATTTTAATATTTATAGCAGCGGTTCTCAACCTTTGGACTAACGCGTACCCTCACCTAAACAAAAATTGAAAACCTTTAGTACTACCACTACAAGGTACTACTACCACCACCACTCTTGAACAAAGCTCAGATCGAATAAATTTACGAGTGTTAGAGAAAAAAAACTCAATCAGGATGTTGGGGTTTTAATTTTTGAATTTAATATTAAAAAGTACTTTGCTTATTTGTGTACCACCTATTTTTCTCTTACGTACCACCGGTTGAGAACCCCTGATTTATAGTATTAAAGCATTAGCTTAACAAAGATACTTTTAAAATGACTCAGAAAAAAGTAAAATTTTTGGTTCGTTTCACTATATCTGAAAAACACCATTAGCTGTGAAACGTTAAATTAACCAATAAATAAATAAATAAATAAATTTACGAAAATGAAATGGCCATTCGCTAAGATGAGACTTCATAGAGATTGATACATAGGTAGAATACCTATGAAGAAAATTTTAGGTATATTTTTTATGAACGTGTGCTTTTATTTAAGCTAACACAAAAGTAATTTATTTTTTATACTTGCTTATTTATTCGATCATTTCAGAAAAAAATTCAATTTTGTGTCAAAATACCTATGTTAGACCAATATTATACATAAATCTAACACATATCTTAAGTCGCGCTTTCGAGACAGGAAAAAACGCAATTTAAGCTTCGTCAGTCGGCCCAGTAGAACATAGACGATGGGAAATTACATAGCAATGTATTGTCGGAAACGCTTTCGTGGTACGGTAGTGACGACTCAAAACGCAGAAAACGAAGGACAGAAACAGTGAGAGAAAACATGTTTTATTATTTTTAGTACAGCAGAAACCTACAAATAAGAACAGAAACACTGATCGTCATTAAAGAAGGTGTTCGAAATTACCACCCCGGACAGTGATGCAGGCCTCACATCTCTGGCGCATGGAAGATTGCATCACGAATGGAAGATCGCATGGAAGATGCATGACGCAAGGTTCCTGCATCATGGTCTGAGTCGTAATTTCGAACACATTCTTTAATGACGATCGTTATCTCTTTGTTGGTTTTTTCTTTGTTTTTGTTGTACTCCGAATAATAAACATATTTTCTCCACCCCGTTCGTGTCCTTTCTTGACTTTTGTGTCTTCACTAACGCACCAGGAAAGCGTTTCCGACGATGCATTTCTATGTGATTTCCCATCGTCTATATGTACTCTGTCTCTCCTGAAAATTTGTCACCGCTGTACTGATACACCCTGTACACATATATATACATTCTATTTTATCGCTGTGTAACTAAAAGCATCAGTATATGAAAATAAAATGTGTTTAAAAATGATTTTTATACATTCGTCATATGCGTATATTTTCTGCGTATAATGATACAAATATGGGACTAAACAAATATATGTATACCTGTGAGAATCAGTATGTAGATTTCACAAAAAATATGCGTATAAATGCATTAATAAGTTTAGTAAGAAAATAGTTGATTCGCATAATTCCCCCCCCTCCAAAATGCACGTTAATAGGCAGTAAAATGTACAGGAGATTTACCTGAATTTTTATCAAAATTATATCTATATGCATGGTAAAAAATAGGAAAAATTTACTTAAATTTCTGCGTAAAGCTAAAAAAAAATTACGCAGATTTACGTAAATTGTCACTAAAACTATGAGAAGTAATAAAGTAGGAAGATTTATTTATATGCGATAAACATACGTGAATTTTCACGAAAAATATAAGTGAACCATTGAAATGTACATATATTATACGTAAAAACTTCGAATATTGCGGGATCATTCGCATGAATATACCTATAACTTACGTATATCGTAACGTAAAAATATACATAAATATCTACTGATTTTCTTTCCGAATACATTTTATGATGTTTTTAAGTTCAAGTTTTACCTTTTTTATACGAAAGACCATTCGTAAATTGCACGTATTTTTTGCATGCAATTTACGAACGCATGCTGCCTGGGTACATATAGGGATCTATTACAGTTTTTTTAATCAATTACAGGCTACCAATTACAGTTACACTGGGGCAGGACTAAAATGTTGCCAAATTTGGCGACACAAGTTAGTCGACAAAGCTTCGAAATATCTCGCCAATTTAGCGAGCTATTCATTTACCTCAGTGTTAAAAGTCATTTACCTCAGTCATTTACCTCAGTGTTTCCGGCAGAGAAGCTCTTTTATCAAGCAGATCATGTTACATTACGCAAAAGATGCTACAATTTCACATATAATTTCATTAAAATTATTTACATATTTACAAAATTCATAACAATATACTGTTTGCTTCCTTATCATTATCAGAGCAGGGCAAAATGAATGTTGTTTATAAAGTTAGATATAAAAGTTAAACTAAATAGGTAGAAGGCTTAATCGTCTATCGTACATCTATATAGGTAGATAGGTAGGTGCATAGATAATGAAACAGATACGACATCAGTAGAATAATTGTTTTGGTATGTGAATAAAATTCTTCAAGGAATTCAAAAACTTTTAGTTGCTTCTTTTCTTGTGAAAATAGTTAGATAATTTATAATGTTTAAGCATTATAACTAATCAAAGAGCATCATTAAGAAAAATTATCTTAAAGGTTAAACAGTGCCCATAATACGAGTATTAACACTAAAATACACAATTATGTATGATCTGCAATCGAATTAGTAATTTAATAGTAAATCTCTTTTGATTGCTCGTGTTGTTCGTAATGACTTTTAACATATTTATTTCGATTCTTCGTTCTAAATTTTTTTTGTTACAAATTGAAATGATATCAAATTTTATGTAGTATTATTTTCAGTCTAAAATCAAATGAATTTTAAATTTCAGAGGAGCTATTGATTTTTTTAAGCATTTCATCACTATCAATATAACATCAGAGTCTTACGAAGCATCTTTGCTCAGTTTCCTTTGGTACATAAAACAGTGTGGTGGAACTAAACGAATATTTTCGACTACCAATGGCGGACAGGTAAGAAAATGACTATTTATAGATATGTAGAATTAAGAGTTGTTAACAGCTTTTTCTAAATGGCCGTGGCCGGGCATTTGGCTTGAAATTTATTCGGTAGTTCGTCCCACTGCCTGATAGAAATAGAAGTGCTAATTGTAAGCTGCATTTTATTAGCTTTTAGTTTTAAAGTCTGCCAAATGCTGTTTTAGCATTTAGAAACTTTTGAGTTAGTTGGTCAGATACGAGCAACGTTTTAAGTTTATATCAGAGGTCTTGAATTCGATCCTTATTGGTGCATTGAGCTTAAAAACGAAAGCTCTACTTTTTGCAGCCAAGATAACAGCGAACAGAAAGTAATTGTTTCCACTTTAGTTTTCTTAAGTTAATAAAGGGTGATTATTTGCCTACGACCCTTAGGTCAAGCTTGGAAAAATGGAGAAATGATAATCAATCCCTAAACGTTTTGCCTTTTTTAATTGAAAAGGTATGTTTATGGGTGTAAAAAAGCTTTGTGAGCGCACTGAAACTACCCAAATTTTAACAAAATCGGCCCAAAATTGTTGCAGATGAAGTTGGAAGTGCTTTCTCCTTCTTAGTCAGAAGAGATTTCTGTTACTATTTCTTTTTTTTATTTCTAATGTGATGTTTAGTGTTTTTCAATCAAGAAAAGATCTCTGCGCACAAACGGCCTCATTTACAAAAGAAATTTTTCTACCTTTTACTTGTCTGTTTCTGGTGTAGTATTTAGTGTTTTCAGTCATAGAAAACGTCGGTAGGACCCTGAGAGCAACAGGTATCATTTACTTAAATTCTTTCATTATCCTTTTCTTTTTTCTTTTTTTTCTAATACTAATAGCTCTTTTTACTCATACTTTCTATTAAAAATAGTTCACTTTGTAATTTCCAAACAGCTATTCTTTTGCTAAATTACTGCTTGTATTAAAACTTTATTTAATTCGTGATTCCCTTTGATTTGCATAAAAAATGCTAGCTAAATTTACAGATTTATTTTTAGTTATCCAAAAAGGCTTAGATGGCTGTAAGATAAGTAGCTGTAATTTTAATGAAGGACAAATTTAACTAAATGTTAAAAAAAACTGCTCGTTTAGTTATTCATTTTTTAGCTAATTTTTTCTTCTTTCGTCTTCAAATTTTCCTGTTGCTCCTAATTTTGTACGCATTGTTCTCCGGGAAAAAGCATGTCCATCTAGTAGATATGTTATTCATGAAATCAAACTCAAAAATGCCCATCAGTATGATTAATGGATTTCGTGTCTCCAGTCTCTGATTTACTTTGCTATTCGCTGAGAACTACATACTTTACTCTAGATTAAATTTTATTAACTAATGCTCCTGAAATGGTAATTGCATTCCGAAATATTTGTAAATTTTATATGCGTTTAAAGTTTAATATTTAAGCTATACGCTCGCATTTTTATTTTAAATAATCAATCATTGCAAAGCAATCGTAGAGACTGTCAGACGACGTTTCGTCCCGTCTGCCTTCTGACTAAATGTATCACAACTCAAGTAAAATTTTAAAATGAAACTAATTCATTAACACATTAATCTGAAGGTTACACAAACCCAAAAGTGCAATAGTGTAAACACAACTCTCCTAACGTGTAGGTAACCAAAACACACATCATATTAACTGAATGAGAAGTACAACATCGACACACCTAACTAAACATTGACTCGACCCTAAATTGTTTCGAAACAATAGTGGCTAGCAGAAGTTTAAGCCGTTAAATTAAATTCAACCAACAGTAAGTCATGCGGAATAACGGCCAGCCTATGAAGCCATCTGAAAACGTGAGAGCCGTGAGCTTATTTATACTTCAATTAATTTGGACTCTGATGGAAGATGGCGAAAACAGAAATAAAAACAAAGCCAAAATAATAAGATGACTAACTAGTTTAATTAGAATAAGACTTTAGGTGACCTGAGGGTAATAGATCCACCTAAAAGAAGAGTCTCTCTATGTACAGTGCAAGTCTTGTTTGATTTAAACACACATCTTGTTTGATTTAAACGTGCCTTGAAAGTTCAATCATGTCTGTTTAAAGCGTATCATCGTCCTTTGATTTAAGTTTGTAATAAATTTATTCCAGCTTAAAATAAAGTTTATTTATCTATAGCAAAAATTTATTGATAAGTAAATTTTAATTATTGTTTAAGCATTAAGTTGTTTTAAGTTTCATCTCAACAGGATATTCGATATCATTCGACATATAGGTTTTATGTTAATGAACATAATTATCTTATTAGTTTACCTGTACTTTCAATTCTACTTTGCCAATTCCCACCAGAATGCAAATTAGTTAAAGCATAAATAAACACGTATTTCTGGAAAGCGAGAGAGCATTCTTGTAAGCTTCCCTGCTGTTGAATTGAATTACTAGTTTAACTTCACACTTTTACTTGGCGAGTACCTAGGGCCAGGAAAAGGTTTATTTAGGGTGTGCTTGTTTATATTTCATCGTTCAGTTTAACTTCAACATATGTTCCGTATCACTCACAAGTAGTAGAGTTTGTTTCTCGTATATTTTTAAGTTTTGTGTAACCGACAGGTTGACGTGTTAATAAAAGATTTTATTTCAAATATTCACTTTAAGTTTTTTATTCCCAGTAGTTAGAAAATACACGGGATGATAAGTTATCTGACTACCTTTATGGTTCTAGTAGATATGGCATTTTGAAGTAGTGTAGAACCGTATAATAGTGAAAAGTTGAGTTGCAAAATATAAGTCTTTGCCATCATAGTTTCTAATATTCGGTTGCAGAGAAGATTGCACACACCAAAGGAACCAGGCATTTTATTCTACTGGAGTCGTTCGGAAAGTAATTTCGTTTTTTCCCAGCAGAGGGCTTAAGTGCATTTTTTTCATAGAAACTTCGCACTTAAGCGCATAATCATTATACATTTTGATAGATGGTATACAAGGCTTGCTAGTGAAAAAGTTCGATTGATTCTACTCAGCAGTTTTTGGTTGGTGCCCTTTCAAATATGGAACGTGAATAACAGCACTTTTGGTATATTTGACATTTTTATTATAGAAAATGTAAAAGTGCTGCTCAGGCAAGGGAAAAAATTAACCGATGTGTATGGAGAAGATGTATTAACAGAACGTCAGTGCCCAAACTGGTTTGCAAAATTTCGATCTGGCAATTTTTACCTTGAAGATGCACTACGTTCTGGAAAGCCAGTTAAAGCTGATGAAGACACATTAAAGACGTAAACTGATGCAAACCTGCGAATAACAACTCGCGAGATCGATGAGAGATTAAATTTATTGAATTTTGAACCGTTCATGATAATTTGAAACGCCTAGGTTTAATCTGAAAGCTCGAAATATGGGTTCCTTATGTTCTTAAGGAAAGAAATATGTGCCGCCATTATTGACGTTTGCGATTTGCTTCTTAAACGTCAAAAAATGACTCATTTTTGAAGCTTATCTTCACTGGGAACGAGAAATGGGATGTTTACAACAGTGTTAAACGCAAGAGGTCTTGGAGTAAGAAGGATGAGCTGGCTCAAAGCACTTCGAATGCCGATATTCATCAAAAACAGGTGATGCTATCCGTTTGGTAGAATTTTAAAGGAATCGTATTTTCTTTTAGTCCAAAGGGGCTTTGTCCCTGAATGATTACTGTTTTCGTTGGTTCACTATAAATGTCCGTTTCACTTTTCAAACTGTTGCTACCAAATGTTAGAGCCCTGCATTATATTTGAAGAAATCAAATAATGAAAAATCTGCATAAATGTATGTATATTTCTCGCATTGTGATAAAACAACGGTACATAGAACCATCGAATTTTAAATGACGTAATCCTACTACGAATATGGGCATGTGGAAGCCCAAATTTGAAATTTGGAATTTGTTTTATTATTAATTTCTTAATTAGTAATTAGTAAAACTTTAACGAATTTTTGATTAACAAACTCAAGGATTTCAAAGCGATCAATGGCAACGTTGTACAGAAAAAACATCTTTATCTCCAGTACGCGAGACTCTGTATCGGAAATTCTAAAGATATGCTCATTTAAAAATTATTTTGTGATATTGTTATTGAACTGAATTTTATAGTTTGATTACGTAGAACATGATATTTAATAAATAAAGGTAACAGACAAAATTTTAAAAAACGCCCCTTTGGACGTAATTTAAAATCTGAAACCTTTCAGATTATTATTATTATTATTATTATTATTTTAGCTTCTACTGGACAACACAATGATAAATTCTGAAGTGTACTGGCGTCAGCTGGACGAACTGAATGATTCACTTAAACAGAAAAGGTCAGAATTGGTCAATAGAAAAGGTGTAGTGTTCCAAAAATATAATGCGAGATCTCATACAAGTTTGTTGACTTGCCAAAAGCTTTTACAGCTTGGATGGGATATACTGCCCCACTCACCACATTCTCCAGATCTGGCACCTTCTGATTGTTATTTGTTCCCATCTCTACAAAATGATTTAGACACTAAAACCTTTACTTCAAATGAGGAGATCAAAAATCACCTAGATCACTTTTTTGAAAGCAAGCGGAAAAAAAATTGGGAGCGTTGAATCATGCTACTGCCAAAAATACGGCAAAAATTATTGGACCAGAATAGACAATATATAATTCAATAAAATATTTATTCGCTAAAAGAAAATCTTCTTTCATTTTTATAAAAAAATGGGAAATTATTTTCCGAACAACCCAACAGAAATAACAAATTTGGCAAGGTAAAACAAATCCAAATATTATGTTAATCTGCAGTATAAAATGAAGTTTCTTCTACAATAACATCTATAATTTGGTTATTTTCTCCTCATTTTATAGGAAAGAAAATTCAAAGGAGGAACTCAACAAATCTGCGAAAAAATGGCAGAAAAATTAGGTGGTGAGTAATTATCTTTTCTTTGTAGTCATTCTGATCATTGAAATTTGTTTGTCTGTCGTAAGGAATTTTGCTAGATTAATTGAAACAGCGTATTCATCCATATGTTAATAGATGGAGTTGTACTTTTGAATAGTCCAGTGGTTGGAATTGATCAAGAGGACAAGGATGTGGTTTTAGTAAAAGCTTTAAACGGTAAAGATTATAAGGTTAGTAAAAATTAATATCCTATATTTATTCAGAAGTCAAACAACAAAAATCAGCGTTATATTTACAAAATTTTTTTTTCAAAAATTTTGTAAATATAACGCTGATTTTGTTGTTTGACTTCTGAATTAGTATTTATTCGGTGTGTTATTGTGTCTTAATTATCCTATATTTATTTTTCTCACAGTTTTCAGTGTGCCTACAAAATAATTTATAATATTGCTGAAATACATGTCAAAGCTCTTGAGCCACATTTTGTACTGCCCTTTCAAAAGCTGATTTAAATTATAACTAACGCGAAAAGGCGATACCTTTGTTATTAATTAAGCTTGGTTTATTTGATTATGGCAAAGCACTCGAGGGCTAAGGAGAGGAATGCCTTCGTAGAGGACATTCTAAGGGAAACTCCCTCGTATACGCATTACACATGGAGAAAACCATGATACCGCCATGCAGCCAGTCCGTTCGCAGGGATTCGAATCTCGGACCGAATCGTCATTGTTATATTTTTTATAAGAACTTTACCACTCGGCCGCTTGGTCAGTTTTTATCATTAATAAGAAGTCATTCGGATTAAAAAAAAGCGATGATTTCAGGAGCATTTGCCTTCAGAATTCAGCGCTAATAAATAATTCCAATAATATCTATCAAACATTTTATAATCATAATAGGTTTATGATAAAATGATATAATTGTGTCACATATATTTTGTAACATTTATGAGTTGCAAAAGAAATTGTTTCTTGTATGCGTTATGAAACAGCTCATCGAACAAAATACCAAACGGAATAAATATTTCTTCAATTTTTTACATCAATACAGGCTGCCCTCGACTTTCGCTATTTCTCATAATTTTAAAAATTCAATTTTTATAAGAACATTTTGATATTGCAAAATTTTTCGTCTACATACAGTCGCTCCCTCTTACGTTAATTACGAGGACTTAACCTTACTGGAGTTCTCTTCGAGACGGGTAACGACCAGTAGTCCGTGCGATATCAGCAATAAGTGTTAATGAACATATTAATGATGCGTTGTTGTATGAAATTTACTAATAAGTAATGGTGCAGCGTTTTTCTTTAAGGTTCCAGAAAGCAGAAAGTCAAGCTGTCGAAGCTGGGTAATATTTGAAAATTTTCACACCGGTAGTTAAGCAATATTCTAAAGATAAAAATTTACAATTTAAAACATTATTAACTTAGACTATGCTTCAGGACAACAAAATCTCTGTAGAATTTATACTCGGAAACTAAGTCGTACCTACCCATTATTTGACCTGAGGCAATGTGGTAAATGCGCGCTCTTGTATACAATGTAAGATTATTCGTTTATTTGAGGGAATAAATCTATAAATAATATTAAATATGTTATTAAAACATGAACTACACATATACACGCACACATAGTAATCTCTGTTTACACTGCGTCATTTCAAGGTTAATCCATGTCATATGACTCTTAAGGATTGCTGCCTGCTCTTTCCTTCTTGCTGTAAAGTTATCAAAAATGTAAACCTCTTGAGATATGCACAAGTTGTTTGTGGCTGCAATATGTTTACTGAAAATAAAACGAAGATTTAATGTGCTTCGGCTGCCAGTCTCCTAATAATTAAGAATCATCATTTCTACGCCATCCATTTATTACTTGTAAGTCTGTTTTTGAGTGTCATCTTTCTAACTGCGCAGTAAAAGTCTCTTCATATTATAATGTAGAGAACCGTCGTCAATCCGTTATAACTTTCATTAACCAAGTCATCTTATATAATAAAATGTAAAAAGACGCCATTCACTCAGTGTTTTTAAACAAGAAGAAATGAAGAAGTTAATACAGATACATAAGAAAAGGAGACTAGGATGAGGAATACAATGAAAATCTGATTCAACCTTATCAAGAGAAGGTAAATCAGTTGAATCAGAGAAGGTATCTCAATTGAAGTCAGATTCCTAAGAAATCCACTGTGTTTCTATTCATCCAAAATTAGCTGATTAACCATTTAAATTTTAAGTAGTATAGTTCACCTGAAAATTTCGAATGCCTCCTTTGCGCAGCAGCTTTCCTTTCATATAAAATAATAATACATAAATACAAATTTGAATAAAATAAATTAAAGTTGCTTAAGAAAGCAAAAGTAATATATACAGTTACTAATATTAAAATTAAAAAGAAATAATTAACAAAATCTAGAGAAAGAACCAAGAACAAATTGAATGATAACTGAGAACAAAATTTTGGAATTTACCTGTTGAAAGAATAAAGGAAAGTGATTCAAAATGGGAAAAGTGACGCTAAGCTTGGCCTGTTTGGCGCTATTGGCTATACAAAAAGGCGATGGAAAATTAATGATTTCGCATATTTTTGTTGTAAAATATTACCGCAATAATATATATATATATATGAGATCTTATGTTAGCAATAGCCGTTAATGTAATTTTAACTTGGGATGTAAAATAAAATAGAACTTCATAATTATTTTCTTTCAGTCATAATATGTTAAATTACAGTCATTTCAGTTAAACGAAGTTAAAATAATGCTATGGATTTCAAAATTTTACATCAAATGAATAAAGTAAGGTTCTAATTTGTGCAGTTAGAATTATAGTATCATCGTATAAAAACTGCTAATATTTATTAGCAGTATTTGAAATTTTAAACATGTAATGTTGTTTCCTTTTTATAGTGAATTTTAAAAAATTAGCGCTATATTATGAAAATTATTAAAAGTTTATGGCATCAAAAGATGTCAGTTTTAACAATTATATTTAGTAAATTAAGTAACGAATTTAAAAGAATTTTTAGTTATTTTACTTAGTGAAGGTTATTGAAAATTGCTGCATTAATAGTTGTATTTTTGTACTACTGTTTAAAAAATTTTGGATCATTTTAAGAGTGAGCTAAATGTAAAGAAGGAAGGAAAAATGCTGTGCAGATAATAGATATAAAATTACTTTTTGAATATAATGTAGGAAATATGAAATATTTTGATATTAAATGTTATTACAATGAATTTAGAAATGCGAAAAATTTAAGATATTGAATGATTGTGATCGTTTATGCAATTAATGTAATTAAAAACTAAAATTAATTTGAAATTATGTAGTTAATTGTATAACTTATAATTAATAAATAGTTGTATGTCAGCGGAGTACTGTTTGGAAAACTGTGGCCTGATTTACCTCTGTATAATAACTTCCTTTACCCTCCTTATACAATATAAATTTTGAAGGCTCCCATTTTATGAAAAATATAGTAAGTGTTTCACATATAATTATCACTTTTATTTTTATTTTTTAATGTATAATGGAGTGCGGTTTTAATTTCTTTTTATATAATGTTTTACCACAGTTACAGTACAGTTAGTGCAGTTTAGAAACGCCAGTTACGCTACGCAAGGAATGGAGGCTTTTATAAATAACTGCTGAGCATCCCTTAACCACTGAGGAATATATGTTAGTTCAAGTGGATATGCCCAATAGATGGAAATGTTTGTACTTGGAGAAAGCTGTGGGGTCTTCCAGTTTGAGTAAAATAAAGGAATTAGAAATTTAATAATTACAATAACAATTATAATTTCAATACTACTAATACAAATGATGTTAAAATGAAAGTTATAATAACGAAAATTAGTTATAATATAAAATTTTGAAATTTTCTATTGTTATTCAAAATAAGTAATGGGTGTACAAAAATTTTACATTTGTGACATTGTGTGACATTAGTGACATTTAAAAGCTCTTTCCTGAATAAATACGATTCTCTGGACTCTAAAATACAGACACTTCCGGAATAAAAATTTTAATAGGAGTCTAAAATATTTTCAAAATTTTATGATTTGTATTTTTTAATTTATGTTTCAACAGCATATGTTCCATACTATAGGACATACGTCAAATCCTTCATGATGTACATTTTAATGTAATTAAAATCAAAATTATGTCGACTTTGGTCATGTTTTTTATAGTATAACGCATATACTGAATATTAGTTCATTTTAAGGTAACCGACCTCGTTCGAAGGGCCTTATTTCAAAATTTTTATTATATTTCTGAATTTATGAATTTTTATGAGGTTGCACTCACACTGAAATATAATCAACTGAAAAGGTGATAAAAAATTCATTAGTTTGTGAAATTTATGCAAAAAACTCAAAATTTTACATAAAATTAACAAAAACGTCAACCATTACTGACAAGAAAATAATTATAATAAAAGCATATTTTTGACTTTAAGTATTTTAATCATAATCATGCAGTGAAGTAGAATGTTATGTAGAGAAATTATCTGATAGCGTTATAAAAAATTAGGTGAATGATTTTATGATTTATGGAAATTTAAATTTTATTTTGATTCTGAATTATTTATTTTAAGGCTTTAATTTTGGGGAAAAACAGATGCTTCTGGGAATATTATTTAGTTTAAAAGAGTATTATTTATTTTCCTCTATTTGTAAATCTTGTACAAACTTTTATTCATTGTGAAAGAAGCAGGGAAAGGGAGGCAATTTTCGCCAAGTCATGATTTCGCGCGCTTTAGAATGTTCGAGAAAGAATTTTCATTGTTAGTTGACCTTAAGAGAGGAAAGTACGTGACGGAAAGGTCAAAGGTTGCTACTTGTCTTTCAATGTAAGTCATTCAGGTTTTTGGCGATTGAGGGTCCGGTTGTTGGCTAAGTGAAGAAGGGCGCGCATGCGCGATCACCTTTTTTCCGCATTCTGGAGTTGAAAACGAAGATTTTGCCATAATTAAGGGGGCGATAAGTGAAGCCATAGTGGGAGCCCGTTTTGGGAAGGAGACGAAGGAAATTCGAGTTGGATTCACATTTACTCTGGACACACTTACTTTTGGCTGACTCTCGGACTGACTCGCTGATTTTTGGGCTTGCTGGACAAAATGTAAGTGACTCCGAGAGGTGTTTTCCGGCGGGGAGCGGCAAATATGCTCCCCGGCCGCGTTTTGGTTAAGAGGCGAGACTCTCTTACACACTTACTCTGGACTCGCTTAGGCACTCTCTGACTGACTCGCTGATTTTCGGGCTTGCTGGACAAAAATGTAATTACGAAGCGGGATGTTTTCCGACGGGGAGCGGCAAATATGCTCCCCGGCCGCGTTTGGTTAAGAGGCGAGACACACTTACTCTTGACTCGCTTAGGCACTCACTGCTTGGATTCGCTGACTTTCGGGCTTGACGGACTTGTTGACGGAGACTGAGAAAAAACTTGTGGGTGTTGCGAAGGAGAAAGGAAAAGATTTAGTCGGCATCGAGCAGTGCTTCCGGCGGGGAGCGGCAATTATGCTCCCCGGCCGCGGGTTTTCTCAAAAATGCGAAGGAAAAAAAAACTGTTGAGCGAATAACAAAAAAAATTATCAGAGACTTGGGTCTCTATCTGTATCGGCAAAAGTCAGGACGATGTCCTCTGAACTCCGACTTGAAAACAGAAGGAATTATGTCACCTTAGTCAACTGGAAGCCTGCGTTAGCCGTTCTCTAAAATGCCTAGCTTAATTGTCTACGTTTTCCTTGGTGGAGCTGAGAGTCTGGGCAGACAGCCGTGCGGTGTGTAAGCTGTTCTCTTGCTTCCAGTGGGAATAATTTTCTTCTATGGAAAAACAGTAGCAGGCGTAAGATTTGACGGTATAGCTGATGTAATTTATTGTCGTGCCGTTCGAGTCTCTGTCTTGCGGATTTGCCAAGTGACGTAAGGATAGAGCTAAGATATGAGCTCTCCTCCACTTCAAGATGTCCACTCAAGATAAGTATTATTTTTTTTGGTGTGTTGGAACTTTAGGCAAGTTTTTCCAAAAACGTCCTTAGCAGTAAAAACAACGTCGAATCTAAAATTTAACTCTCAGGCCATAAATTGTTTCCCTTTCCTTTCTTTTAAATCACCAGAACTCTCAGGCCATAAATTGTTTCCCTTTCCTTTCTTTTAAATCACCAGACAAACCTTAAGTTTTTTTATGAATTTAAATGAACAGACTCTCAGATGAGGTTAAGATTTTTTTTATTGTGTTGTAATTGAATAAACTGATATTTAATCTGGAACCTCTTACAGTATGTTTTCTTTATATATTTAATATGAACTTTTCCTTTATATCTTGTATATGTTTTATGTTTTCGATCCTCTCACGGCGCGGTCCCGGAATGCATTTTTTTCACAACGCAAAAATGCTGTACACGTTTCACTATACGATTACTCCCTTTAACGGCAAGTAGTTTCATATTTAACATTTAGCAATATAGGAATTTCAGATATAACATGGTACCTAGAAGTAAAACTATTTAACCTTGGTGTCGAAACTTTCTTCATAACAGAATAATTAAAAAATATTGATTCATTAGCAATGTTAGTCAACACACAAAAAGTTTTTAAAAAATGCATACATTATTGAAGGAAAAATCACACAATTTAAATTCTGTACGGCAAATTTGTTAGCTCTTAGTCTAAATCATGCATAATAATATACAAACTCTGTGTGCAAAATTTCAAGTGATTCTGTCAGGAACCATTAGAGTTATCATGGTTTCCGTGAACGTCAATCACAAAAAAAAAATATATATATATATCATAAATCGCATTTAAAGTTCAGAGATTAACATTACGTGGCATATATACACAACCATTCAAATTGCCAAACGAAAATTAGAAAATTCATAACTAGAATACTTTTCCAGATTGTCCAGACTAATTGAAATGCTTAAAATTATTTAAATAAAAAATAACACAAAATAGGGCGAAAACTGCATTTTGAATTTGCTCTTTAAACTTTCACTTCCGCTGTGGCAAACAATAACTTCCGGTTTGCCATCTATCAGAAAGACTAGTTTTTTTCACTTCTAATGAACGTATCAAGAAAAGAAAAGCTGTTTTTGATAGCTAAGGGTGTGACCTTTAAAAATGTGAAAGAAAAAAATGAGATTTTTAGTCAAAATCGGTTTTTTGAACGAGGTCGGTTACGATTAAAAACGATTAAAGTAGTTATAAAAACAATGTAATTTTTAAACATTATTTTTGCACTCTAAAATCAAAAAATATCAAAGGGTACTAAAATGACACTAAAAAATGAAAATAATACATATTTTGTAAAGAATTCGGGAGCTCTGAGAAATATATAAAAATTCCGTTGTAATTAAAGTTTCTGTCTTTTTTAAATGGTATAAAAAGGAGGTATAAATCACTCACCGTTAAATTTAGAGAAATTAAAAAAAATTTGAGGAAATGGATCCTCGTCTTTCAGATGGGTTAGAAAAAATTAAAATTAGTTATCAATGAACACTGAAATAATAAAACTAGTCGCTTATTAAATATTCAAAGTATTTATCTTTTTCAAAGTATCTACCTTCAAACCTAATCAAATATATATCTAAGCAAAGTATCTACCTTTGAAAATATATAAATCATCATTGTATCTTAAATTTTCGGAATCATCATCGGAATCTTATTTAATTTATTGCTGTAGGAAAATATTCATGTTCTACGATTTTTCTCAAAGGTATCAACGGTATTTGGTTTAAAACTTTTAATTTCTAAATATCTTGGTATGATCTGACACTAATTCATTGCTAAACACTTTTTAAAGTTTTTTTTTTTTAATTAGGAATAAAAATCTAGCCATTCTTCGTAATCCATATATCCTCTCCCTTTTATTTCTTTTATGATTTTTTTTCTATGTTCTTGATCTGTTTTTGATTCTCAAAGTATTCGCTGTGCTACATTAATTTTTTGTTCTTTTTCAGAAACTGTGATAGATGCATCAAGATCAAAATCCGTTTAATACATTGATCATACTTGTCACTTTACTCGCAAAACATTTATCACGTTCTGCTTTTAATTCTTCTTTTAATACGTTTATTAATTCATTTTTATCCTTATTTTTTAAAATTCTGCACCTTGTTGATTGGAAAATTTTATACAAACTTAATATATAGAGCTTAGCTCAAATGAATGAAAGACAGCAAATAACTACTAATGTCGGCAGTATGATGTTTTCTTCGAAATTTTAGTCTATTCAGCTCGATACACAAAGTGTAAATTAGCTTCATAATGCTACTTTAAATAATAAATTTTAATATTAGAAAATAATATATCGCCTGCTGTGAGAGGTAATCTATTTTTAGAATAAATTAATGTTATTAATATTTCTTTTTTTTTCTTCCCCCTCCCACCGTTAGAATTGCTTACAACACAAAATTCTTTTCCTACCTCATTCAACCGACACTGATGGGTACTTTTAAACGATGTTATATGTGAACAATTATAAGTCAAACAATCAAGGCAACTAGTAGGGACAAAATAAGAATTCTTTGGACGACTATATTATACGGAATACAATAAATAATTCTGGAGACTCGAAGGGCTGAAATAGAAGAGTCAACAATGAAAGGTTCCTGGAAACAATTATGCCCACAAATGATCAGTGATTTTAAAAATTCTGAAGAAACGAAGGAAGCTATCATAAATAAAAGCCTAATTAATGAACTAAACTTGGACGTCAACAATAAAGTTAAAAGTTAAATTAAATACGCAGTGATAATGTGGAAGAAGCTGTTGGCTTTTATTCAACTAACTGTGATAAGTTAATAAAGAAAGCACATGAAAGCTCTAAAACACGCCTCTATATTGATTAATAAATCTACAATTTTCTTGTTTTTTTACATGAAAATTATATATTTATTTATCAATATAGAGGCGTCTTCTTTCGAACATTCAATATTTGTACACATTTTCAAGAACCAATTATGTGCGGAAGTCGAGGGCCGTCTGTATGTATTTACTTATTATATACTTAACCCTATTTCTATTTTTTAAGACAAATTATGTGTACATAACTAAGAAAGCTTTTTTGGTTTTTGTAAAGCGAACCTCATTATAAAACTGCATGAAAATACACTGAGTCTCATCTCCATTGCACGAATTATTTGCAATCTTATTTTCAATGACTCTAATCCGCAGAGACATTAAAAAGGATAAACGATTCAGTTTCTAACTTTCGGTAAAACCATTTTATCGACTGCCAGAGAAGCATGGGCATTTTTGTGTGCTCTGCTTAAAACAGAAGCAAATTCTTCACAAATTTTTAAATTCTTTGTAAATTTCAAAGTACGTACTTTTCTGCTTCAATTCTCCGAAGCCTCTGTATTTTGAAGCATCATCAAATCGTTAATTCTTTTCATTGCTACAATGACAGTCAAACTATATCATTTATTTGAAATCAGTCTTGAAATCAGAAATACACATGAAAGAAACACAAAAGGCAAACAAAAAGGAGAGGGTTTTCTAAAATTGACATCATTGAAAATTTTATCTTCCTTTTGATATCCTAAAAGATTTTAATTAGGCAAGTGGGCGAATAAAAATGGGATGCCATGGAGAATATTGCTTCTTCATGTTTGAAGGTAAAGAAAGAAAATATTATTTTCAACCAAATAAAAAACGCTAAACGCTAAGAACTATATATCAATCTGAATATTTTTATTTCTTGATAAATTGATTTCTTTGTGTCTCAAATCACATCGTATCAATTTATGTCTACAAAAGTTTCCAATGAGTTTTATGCTTATGCAGAATGAATAAAAATTCCATATTACTTCTTTCTAACTGAAAGCTTGTTTCTTTTACTAGGAAATCAATTCCATTTTTACATCATTTTAATGCTTTCTGTGACTGAATATGCATGTGTCTATTTGTGCATTTGGTTACATAAATTTGTATAAATTCATTTGCTAGGCTCATTACGTTATTCTGGCATGTCCACCTATACTGCAAATGAAGATTCACTTCAAACCTTCACTCCCTCCTCTCCGTAATCAGTTGATGCAGAGGATGCCGATGGGCTCTGTAATGAAAGTCATTCTGTATTACAAGACAACATTCTGGAGAGAAAATGGTAAAGTTGATCTCAAAAAAGTTTCTTTTTGCATTTTATATAGGCTTTCGAGCTGTCCATAGTGAAAAAAGATCTATGAGTTTGAGATCAGTTAAATTTTCTCAACTAAAGCTGTTACGGAATATTTTATCTTTGATATCCTTGATTTTTGATAACTTAATAAATGAAGAGATCGATCGAAACGCACCGTATATTCATAGTACAAAAGAGAATGGTGGTTTGTTCTAGTTTGACATAAGGGGTATTTTTAGTATATGTGCAGATATTCCTGTATATAAGAGTCCCGGAGTATAAGATACGGAGAATACTAATTGGCAGATTTTAGATTTCTTAGCATTTGCTTATATTAGAAAATAATTAACAAATTAAAAATTGGGTACTTTCTATGAGCTACAGATGTAAGCCCCATGGCAGCTGAATATACAGTAAATATATAATGAGAAATTTTTTTATCAAAAATTCGCAAAATATCATAAGTATTCCTGTATACAAATCATATTTATACACTGGGAAAACCGTGAATTGTGAAGTACGGTATATTTTTTTTAATCGAGACAGTAATGATTAATAGAAAGACCAGATTAATTTCAGTTTTACGATCATGACTCTTTACTTTAATTTTTGTATTCAAGTAGCGTTATTTTGCAGGGCTTTGCGGATCAATGTTGATTGAAGGAGGAGATGAGCACCCTCTATTCCTGGCTTTTGATGATACGAAACCAGATGGTAGTTATCCTGCCATTATCGGGTATGATATTCCATAGCTTTATGAAGCAAGCCTAATATTTTACAGAAAATACTTTAGCCGATGTTTAATTGTGCTTCCATAATACTGATATGATTAATACTCAGTTTCTAAAGCCTTTTTTCTTTTACTTCATCTTTCCTTTAACGAGTTTCTTTGCAGTTTCATACTAGCTGACAAATGCCGCCGTATGGGAAGTTTAAGTCCCGAAGAAAGGAAAGAAAAAGTTGCTTGGAGTTTAGCAGAGGCAACTGGATATCAAGAATTTCTGAAGGTATATAACACCATCAGTGTAAACCAGAAAGCCATTATTTAGTGAATTTCTAAGGAGATTAAAGAACTAAATAAATTCTTGTAAGGGTAATTCAAACGAAAAATTCCAATTGTTAAATCTTCATATCAAGTAGTTTAACAATATTAGGTGTTTTTCACTTAAAAGTTGTGAAAATGATTGTTACTTTTCACAACTTTTGATAACAAAACAAACCTTTGGATTAAAAAAATCCAACCTTTGCATTCATTATTTTGAAACCTCGTTAATTTAAAACATGACTTTTTACATGTTTTTTTTTTCATTTAAAACATGATTTAAACCAAATTTAGTAATGCAAAACACTTGTTTAAGTGTTACTTAAATAAGAAAATTGTGAAGTACGGTATATCTTATTTGAAAGGCCTTTATAGGTTTACATATAACTAGAATTTAATGAGATGCATTTAATTAGAATTTCAAACAACCAAAGGTTATGCCCTTTTTCTTTCATTTGGAATGTAAATAGTCGTTTCAGTGCCCGTTCTCTAAGGTATAGAATTGTTAATTGAAAATAACAATATCTGTTTTGTTACATTTCCAAAAATAAGAAACAGATAAAAAGAAGAGAACTGTTTCCATAATCCACTCAAATTTACATCGAATAAACTTGTAGGGTTATTATTGATTTAATTAGCGAATTATTTATAATTTCAGCTTTACTATCACTTGTCCTTTCCGCTTCCTCACTAGAATGGAAATCAGTTAGAGTCGAGGGTTTTGGATTATAAGACAGAGCATGTTTCTGCCTCTCGTGGTCACGTTACTAATAACGCCAGCTCTGGTAAGAGTGCAATTCTTTGGTAAGAGTAATTCAATGGTAAGAGTGCTCTGGTAAGAGTGCAACTTTGCATTATTTCTGCGATATTTAAATTGTTACGGCGGTGAGACGTTTTACAGCCATTTTCGCGTTAAATCAATTGCGTAGACTTAATATAACTTTTGAAACTGATTGTTACTTTAAGTTGCATCGTCACAAGTAGCGCCTGATTTGTAAGCACGAGACATTAATTTTATGTTCAATTTTTTCTTTAATAAAAACGTTGTTTTAAACGTTTTCAAGACCTTCTTGTTATTTCAGACAAAGCAATAATTCGCTCCGACTCTCCTAGGAGTTTGATACTAGTAATTTATGCTACCAAAGGTAAACAGCAAAATAGATGATAAAAATAAATGTGCCCTTAATTTTCATCTAGACACTGAAATATTACTTCTTACAGCCTATTCATTATGAAGAGAAGAACTGGATGGAGGAACAATATTCTGGTGGTTGCTACACTGCAATGTACCCTCCTGGCTTATTTACAAGATATGGAAAGTATGTTCTAATAGTCATAAAATCTACGATAATTGGCGAGAATATGTAATATGAATATATTTACTGTACTATAAAAACTATTTATCTAAAACGTAAATGTATAAATGAATAGAAATCTTAGAGCATAAAAAATATTCATATCTTGATGCAAGTTGTCCTCTGACATAGTTTTACAACTTTATTTTATTTCATGTATATATATTCATGAAAAGTTTTCTACAGGATACTTAAATTCATATGAAGAAAAGGGATCTTTTACTGCGCATTCACTTTCATCTATCAAAAACTGCGAATTCCAATTCTCTCAATATAATTGAAAGAAATGTTTATTTGAAGTAAATCTTTTCAACATGGACAAAATAAAAAGGGCATTCAAAGCATAGAAAATGTAGCTCTATATTATTCAGCTTAGACTGCGGACAGCAAACCTTTATCCTTAAAATACATTACCCTCCAAATGTTAAGGAACAGCAGGTTTTTCAAAGCTCACGATTACAAAAATGTCAGTAACGTTTAAATTCACAATTCATATTCATTACAGTAACGAAGTTTAAGAAAATATGTGCAAAAACAATAGCTTTTACTTTATAGAAATGAATACTTATATAGGAACTGGAGAAAAATGCAAAAATTGTAATTTTTGTTCACTAGTGTTGATCGTCAGTTGTTATTACACTTTCGTGGACGATATCCAGGAGAGTCTAGCAATGTCCAGGAGAAGTCGTCTGCCAGATTGAGGTGGCGGGCGATCAGATGGATGGGTGGAAATGGGTATGTCACAAGTTGATGCTGCTAGATGTCTCAATGTCTCGAAGTGTGGTCCACCGACTATGGAATTAGTTTGAATCCCAGGATTCTGTGTCTAGAAGACATGCTCCAGGCAGACCTACAGTTACAACACCTGCGGGAGACCTTTATTTAGCTCTTTCAGCCCGAAAGAGAGTAACATTAATGTGCCTCAGCTCATGGCAGATCATTTAGTGGCAAGAGGAACAAGAAATCTCAGCCACTACAGTGCGCATACGCCTGCACAATACAGGTCTGTATGCAAGACGACCAGTTGTTTGGTCCACTTGACCCGAGGACACGCAGGTGTGTATGCAAGAGAAACGTCTCCTCGACGTCAACAACCAGCATCTCTTTTCTTCACAGAAGAGTCCAGGTCACACTAGAAAGTGTGTTCACCTGATCTGAAAGGAACAGAGCATCAACCGATCCCACATGGAAAGACATAGTTACGAAGGGGGTTGAATAATGGTTCGGGCTGGGATGCTCTCGGTTCCATGCATATGAGGAACTTTGACCGGTGTGAGATCTCGAGACGAGATCCTTGATCAATATGTCCGCCCATATGCCGCTGCTATTGATTCAGGATTTCTTCTGATGAACGACAATGCGCCAGTGCACTGATCTCGGATTGCTGAAGAATATCTTGAGGGTCACGGTATGGAGCGGGTGGAATGGTCAGCTCAATCCTCAGACCTGAATCCGATAGAGCATCTTTGGGACTACCTTGGGAGACAGGTTGCTACTTTAAGTCCTCCTCCAAGTTCGCTAAATGAACTTGAACAAGAATTATTCCATGTCTGGTCGTTCCTTCCCATTTCACCGACCGGCAACTTAATTGACAGCATGGAATGTCTCTGCCGCCAATGTATTACAGCTAGGGGTGGACACATTTCTTATTAGAACTCATTTTTGTAATGTTACCACCCCATTTTTCCTCAAACATTGTCATATAGTCTTTCTCCAAGACTGGATGTCTCTGCCGAGAGTGCAATTTTTTGTTGTAATTCACGTATGTGTTAGAAATATTCTATGTCGCATTCATTAAAGAACTGTTTAGTGAAAATGTTCTGTAAAATTTTTGTTTCTATGTTGCTCCGTTCTCAAATTAGACACCAAAAACATGCTGTTTCTTAACGTTTGAAGGGCAGTGTACTTGATAATATACTTATTCACATTAATCCTTAACATACTGAATTACTACCGATGAATTTATCGATAGTATGATGATGAATAGAATGTTTATTCATGAACATCCTTACGATACTGAATTATCAACAATTTCAAACACACTGTAGAGACATTAGGTATTTTTTGGAAGCAGGAAAGATGAAAAATTAACACCGCCTTCGCCAGGAACCGCGGAACTCTGGAATACCGGTCCAGAGTGCAGACCACTACACCACGAAAGCACGCTAGGAAAGCAGGAGAAATACCTTATATACTCCCCTTTTTAAAAGGTAACTGGGATTTTTAGGGAACCCAATCGCCAATGGATGTGGAGAATATTCATCTAACACCCTTTTAGTTCGTGCGCCACTGTAGAGACATTATGTATTTTTTTAAAGCAGGAAAAATGAAAAATTAACAACGTCTTCGCTGAAAATCGAACCGTGGACCTCTGGAATACCAGCCCAGAGCGCAGACCACTACACTACGAAGGCACGCTAGGAAAGCGGGAGAAATACCTTATAACACGACATACAGTTAATCATTTGAATTATTTGTAAGAATTATACTGTTCTACTTAATCTTAAAAACTATAGTGCTGCTGAAAATTTATCTTTACAAATTAAAAATTCTTTAAAGTTCAAGCAAATATCTCAGTCAGTTTTAGTGGTACAATTTTAATAGTTTTAGAGGTATATACTTTTAATTTGCATTTTATAATGAGCATAAATCTTCGCTAAATATAAATATAGAGATCGAAGGAATGCATAAAATGATTTCGCAATTTAAAATGCTGAAACATCAATATTTCCGCCGTCTAATGCATTTTTTTTGTAATTATATGCCTTTAAATGAAATAATATACCTGCGATCAATAGAAATAAAGGCCGGGTAACACTGTTTGGGACGCTGTGTACATATATGTATATATCATTATAGAATTTCTTAAAAAAAATATTCAAAAACCATTTCTACGCAAAATGCTGCTGAAAACTTAATTAATTATAGACTAAAATAAGTAATAAATTACGAACAAACCCTACAAAGACATGAAAGAAATGAAGGAGCTGAAGAGGTATTTTTACACTTTTTACTGAGTGATTTCGGGAAAGCAGTGGTTTCAAATTTTCTGTCATGTCTTAGTAGGATTGGTTCGGAATTTATTACATTTTTAGTCTCTAATTATATATATGTGTTATATATACACCGTAGAGCCATTGTATTATGACCACTCATCATCTAGAACAATGAGCTCGCCGGGAGACAAAACCACGGCGCACACGTGGCTGATGCTGGAAAGTATAAAGCTCTCATGCACTGTTTTACATGCGTTGAATGTTTAGCGACATAATGTGAAAAGCAGCTAATTTATCAAATTTCGATAAATGTCAAATCGTTATTGCTCGGCGTCTGGGAACATCGATTTCAGAAATGGCGCATTTGGTAGGCTGCTTATGTACAGGTGTTTATAGAACGTGGTGTATAGATGGTAAAACGACAAGTCGTCGGCTAGCGGTTTGACGGCCATGGCGCATTGATTTCTAAGGAGAACGGAGAGTCTTGCGCATTGTTGATGTGTTTGTTCCATGATTGAAGGGATATAAAAGCTGAAATCACCAGAAGCTTCATCAATAGCGACCCAGACGGTGTCTAAACACACAGTGCAGCCTACGCTGCTGCCTATGGGTCTACGTAGCCTGCGCCCGAATCGTGTCCCTGTGCTGTCACGTAATTTATCTTTGCAAATTAAAAATTCTTTACAAATGAAATATCTTTACAAATTAAGAATTTTTAATTTGTAAAGATAAATCCCTGTACGTCATCGCCAACAGCTCCTGCAATGGGCGAAGATCGTAGAAGAATGAAAGAAAGTCTCCTGCCCTATGAATGGTCAATCAACATTGACAGAAGAATACGAATACACAGATTTCTAGCGGAAACCATGAAATCCGGGTGCAAAGTTGGCTAGATACAAGACGGTAGTGGCGGCATTATGTTATGGGCGATGTTTTTCATAGGGCACATTAAGACCCATTATTCCCATAGAACAATCCTTGACGCCTTAGGCGCTATGTTAATATCGTTACAGACGGTGCACTCCTTTATGGAAACAGTGTTCGTGGCGTGATAACGGTTACCAACAAGATAATACACCATCTCACAAGCGTCGAATCAACACGGGGGGGGGCTTAGAGGAAAGCTCTTGTGAATTTCATTTCACGTCTTATTCTCAGAATTCACCTAACATGAACCCAATCGAACATTTGTTGTTCCACCTAGAAAACCGAATTTCGTGCAGCCACTCTACCACCTTGCAATGGGCGGGACTCCAGGACCAGTAGGTGACTGCCTATCAGCATCTTGTCGAGTCAGTGTCTCGCCGGGTGTTAGCGGTATTTAGAGCTACTTCATATTAAACAGGAGATCCTAATTCAGTGGTTCTTCAGCGTATCACTCTCTCTATATATATATATACAAATTATCATTATATAAGTTTATATAAGTTAAGAGCATTATAGTTTTTGTGATATCTAGGAAGTCATGTTGGATAATAAAGTGATGACATCGAAGATGAATGAAAATATAGATGCATGACGATACTTATACATTTGCACGGAAAAATTTCTTTCTGTAATAGACTGTTGTGGATAGTCACAGATGTCTTGTATATTTACAGACATTCTTTCTTTTATTACATAAGTCATTGAAACACAGTAAATCAATAGATAAGTACAAAAACGGCTGGCTCGCTATTTCATAGTTAGAAGTTACGTTTCAAACTATTGTAGTTGTTGACAGAGAAAGGAGAATCGTTGGAAGACATGTTAGATGACTGGCTCGCTATTTCATAGTTAGAAGTTACGTTTCAAACTATTGTAGTTGTTGGCAGAGAAAGGAGAATTGTTGGAAGACATGTTAGAAGGATACAGAAAGCTGAGAAGAAATGTTACAATAGGAATGTTCGTGATGTTGTAGTTTCACTTTATTTACATTCACTAATTAAGCTTTTCATCTGGCAAATTTAACATAATTTTTGGCTAGAA